GCAGGCGGCGGTGAGCAGTTCTGTTGGTTCGTTGTGCTACGTAAGATATGGCTTCTAGACGGTGTGCCCTGGTACATTGATAGTTGGCGACGGTGCTGGTGTCTGCCATGTTAGACTACCTTAGGATGAAGGGGCAGCCCGAATCATCCTCAGGGCAGCCCTCCACACCCAATTGCCAGCTGACCGACACGTATTCAAGCACTTTTTTTTTGGACTATTTCTCGGGCAGATTGGGTGCCAGCAACCTACTTTGGGCACGAGACTAAGTCCTACCCTGGGTAGCCAAAGCTAGCTTGTGAGTTTTGGACTGTGACCTCCCGAATCTAAGGTTAGGTAGCCAGATTGCGTGAAGCATAGACGGGTATGTATACAGCGCTGAAAAGCCTCCAGTTTAGTCAAACTTTGTACCTGACCTGGGCAGGTGGTATCGGCAGACCACACTTGGAAGAAAAAAAAAGACATTAGAACGCTGGCGGGAGTTGTTCGTTGCGCGTCGGGGACTAAGGCAATGTAGTGTAGATGCCTCCCCACGTTCGTTGGAACTTGGGGTGTCCATTGCACGGACGGCCCTTTGCCAGTCTCGTACCGTACCTCGTCCCAAGGCTAGACCAAGGTTGCAAAGGAATTCCCCTAGCGCAATTGCCTTAACAGGCCGTCGTCAGCAATGGAACGTCCGGAAGAAGCAAAGAACTGCGGCCCAAGGGTTGCAAAATGCGAAATGAGAAAAGGAGCATCCAGAGCTCTATGCGTACGGAGTATTGTCTAGCACAGTGGCTACCTCGGTGCCCTGCATAGGTAGAAGCAAGAAACATATCATATCCCAGGTACGTACCGATGATGTAGATGGGTACCTCCAAGACTAGAGAAAACAGTAAGGGCGAGTAAGTTAAGGTTACAAGCCGGCCAACTCTCCCATGTACCCTAAGCAGATTTGGCTGTACGGCAGGCAGCGAATCGAGAGTAGCTACTTTGCCTTGCCTTATCCCGTCGTGTTAGTTCGAATGGGGAAAGAAGGACGAATAAGAAAAGGAACAACTCGATAGAATATCGGAAAGAGGGAAGGAGAGCGAGGAATCAGCACCTCAGGCCTAAGGTAAATTGCCTTGGGTACTTTGTCCCGATGTGAGCAACTTACCTACTTTTGGTACGGTACCTCAGTCTCAGTCTCAATGCTCTCCGTCATCCAAGGGCAACTAACTTTACGTCTCCCCCATCTCGAACGCACGCACAGCAATCTACACGTTGGACGCCGTTCCGATTTGCTCCACGTTTCTTCTCAAGAATACACAATCAATCTCTGTACAACAGCGCCATCTCTTCTCGTACGCAGCCTAATGTCCCCGAACGGAGTCAGTGTTTACTTCTTTGCCTTCTCTGCTGGCCATTAGTTGCTCCTTTATGAACCGCCCCGTCGTCATGTCAGGCACCGATGCCGTGGACACTGGTCCAGCTACAACACCGGACTCCCGAGACCCCTGGAAGGCAGCAGACAAGCTATGAACAGCCCAACCAAGCCATGTGTGGCTTGACTTGACGCTAACGACGACGTCGTGGTCGCCTCATTGCCGTGGAGGGTGGACAACACCGATGGCGCTGGTGCGGCAAGACAAAAAAAAAGAACTACTACCACTACTATGACTACTACTACTACAACCACCACGGGCACACAATGATGGTCAAGGATACGACTGCGACAACCAAAAGAGGGCTGCTCCAAAGCCGCTAGCCAGCAAAGCAGCGAGCAAGCATGCCCCAAGTTGCATGGCGATCATGGTTCATGGCAACTGATGCAGCCAGGCCACAAGCTCATACTTGGCCTGTCCGCCTGCAGTGAAAACATTACCGCCCTGGTCCTGGAAGGCTTTGCTGGACGGACACTGCACGCTGGGCTGCGCTGCATATCTGACCGCCAGTTCATCATCAGACCAAGGCAAGGGCCAAGCCGAGCACCACCAGCATCAGCATCAGCACCAGCAACAGAACCAGCGAGGCAAGGCAAGGCGAGGCAAAGCACCACTTGACCAGACGGAAAGGGAGGCATTCCCAACACGAGACAAGACAGACTTTGTAAAGGCTGTTCCTGGCTCGCCCTCATGGATGTGGCCATGGGACACTGGTAGCCGGGCATGAAGGGCATTGATCAAATGTTTCTCAGCGCAACCTAGCCCCAGCCCATCTGCGGATAGTCAACCGCCCTCGACGACTCGTTCGGCAGTGGCGCATTGTCACGGCCGCCGTTGGCTGTCCGGCCTCGTCGAGACAAGCCTCATCTTACATCCATTGTGTCGACCGCACAGACGTCAGGCTTGCTGCAACTCTTCTTCGCTCTTGTTCTCCCGCTGCCGTTGCCCTTGCCGCTGCCAGATGCAGAGCACAGTACTGCGCTATACTGCCGGCTCTTTATTTTCAGATTGCTCAGCTCGTCAAACCGATCCGCGCCATCGACTTGTCAATTGCACTAGCACTAGCCGCGGAAGGGAGCCGCCCAAGACAGTACAAGACACGCATGCAGCCTGCGTTTGCTTGCTCTCACAGTCCCCCGTTGAACCCGTTAGGATCGGCGAACAGCATAAGCACAAGTTCATCAAGTCGGAGATGCGCACAGGCAAAGGTGGAGGCTGTCCCCCCTCCTCCCCAAATCAGAGGAGACGGGACCAGGGTAAGCCACAGTTGAGAGCAGTTCCTTCAAGTGTGCCCGGCCAAGCATCGGAACCCTCGTTGTCCCTCTTCGGCCGACCCCCATCCCTCCCATCAGATAGATGGGTTCCTCCGCCGGTATTCCAGTCTCCGATCCTCCAGACGCTTCTTGGTTTCTCGCCTGCTCGTTGCTCAACTATGCGCGCCGTCATACTTTCGCGTTTGACTTCTACGCGTGCCGGAGTCGGGGGCCCAACCAACCATGGGGTCAACTCTACGAGGCTAACCGCTGCCTCCGAAGTGTCTCTCATAAGTAGCGGTTTGCGAGGCCTTCCCCCCCATCAACAACATCTCTCTTCGCCAGCTGTCTGCCTAGGACCGTCAGCCGGCACGAAGAGGATCCCATGAAGCGGGAGCCCATCTATTACAACCCACCAGCATGCGCATGTGCGAAGTCCACTCGACTCTTCATTGCATCAGCAACCGCAGGTTTCAAACATGGGGTCCACAGCACCCGTATGCGGTTTCGTGACAAACTGCTGCCCACCACATTCCGCCCTCTCCACGCTTGTCTTGCCCTAAACACACGCTCACTCTGTCGGGGGCCCTAGGATTATGGGCCATGCACACTTGACGCCCTCTCGAATTTCCCGCCCTCTTCAACCAGATTCCCACCAGCCTTCAAGTCGAACCGATGCTCTACGAGTCTGGGAGGGAGCTGTGACCAGGTGTGGTCATCATACACGGACACGAACCAACCCTTATCCAAGCAATCCTTATGACCAGCGTTTCTTGGATCCCGCTCTTCGGAGAAGCTGTCATCCAGCTTGCTCCATTGACTCTGGCTTTGACACCGCATTAAACGCGCTGATCCAGACGTACCACGGGTTGCCCATGACCTGCTCTACCCAAGTACCAGAAAAGCATCATGCATGAATTCGTGGCCATGCCATTTTAGCATCTAGCTCGGTAGCGGACATTCGGCCCAGTACTTGGTATTCCATTGTATTCTTTCTCTCTCTGTGTCTCTTTTTTTTCTTCTCCTCCTATCCTCTGCTCTGGTTTTTACCACAACGACCCCTCATGACCGGAGCTGCAATCTAGGGTGTCGACATACGGGAGAACACCAGCCCCAGGCCAGACGCTAGACAGGGCATGTTGCAGAGGGGTGTGTGTCTTGAAAAGAAAGCATGGCAGCCACCTGGTGTCTGTGAGCGCGCTGCGGGAAGGGGGGCGTGTGTCTTTCAAACATGTGCCCACCCATGTCGGTTCCCAAACTATGCCTGGGTGAAAGTAGCCCTTCATGAGCCTTATTCGACAACCTCTACCGCATCGCATTCTTCAATGAGGGCAGGGCAATAGGCGGACTGGCCCAGGCAAGGGACGGACGGCACCAACAAGATCCCATCATCTGCCACTGGTCATTCCCTACCTATATGCGAGCTTGACATATAACTTCTGCCCTATTACTACGTTCACTGCTCGCTGCCGGTTGCTGCTGCTGCTCGCGCTGGTGTTGTTCTGCAAAAGCTAACCAGCCTATGCCCTTGCCAAACACACACATCCTCACACACCCTCTTCACACGCGCACACACACACACACACACACACGCACTTCCCATCCGTACCCAAACCTCGTCTTTCTCGTCGTCTCTTCCTTCTCCACAGCCGCGGTGGCTCTCTCTCTTACACACACACACTCTCTCTCTCTCTGTCTCTTTTTCTCCTTGTTCGCTGCTCCTGCTAGGCTCGTCACTGTCGTCCTGGGTCTCAACTTGTCTCCTCCTACGCCCGTCCTTATACACACCCCTCCCTTGCTCTCACTCACTCTCCTCTCGTTTCTTCTTCGATGACTTTCCTCTCGTCAGTTTAAGAGTCTTTTGAGCCTGTCACTTTGTTAATCAGACCCCGGCTTCCGTCCCCCACTTCGTCCTCCACCTCTTCAACCCATCACCGTCCCTCAAACTACCACTTTCTCGGTCCATTTTAATTCTTTTCTCTTCCATTCACAAACTGCATCACCGCAAGTTCCCGACGTAGACCGGCTTGTACCTTGTTTCCTTGGCCTCTACCGACTTTCCGTAGGAGAACGATGACTCTGGTAAAGCTTCGCTTTCTGATGAAGACTTCTAGCAGCCTAGTTTGACCAACGTATACTTACGCCGCCGCCCTCTTTTTTGCTGTCCGCCCGCCCGCCTGCCTGCGTCGACACCGAGCGAGCTCAATTTCCGATCATTGGTTGCCGGCTTCTCTAACTGGCCCAATCATGTTGATGACTTCCTCAAAATTGCCAGCTACGCCGCCATCTTGATCTAAAACCAGGTCCCTTTTTCCTTTTCAGATCTTCCCCCCCCCCCCCCTTTTGCCTATTCACCAGGATTAAACGAAACGCCTTTTCCTCTTACCAAACTCACGATCGACATCATCTATTGTTAAGCCACGGCAGAATCAGAGAACTTTGTTGCCCTCACCACTTCCAGCAACGGGGCCAGCGTCACCGATCTCCACCGCTCTCAACCCGTGATCCTACTCTTACCCACCTCTGCCGTAATTCCCAACGAGTAGACACACTGCCTTGAACTTTACATTACCCGCGAAGCGTAGAGAACCTTCAACGAGCACCGAACAACCGTCCCCATTTCGAATCTGGTCGGGAGATTGCACCGACCTTCAACCTTTCAAGTGTTCCAGAAACTGCCCTTCTTGGGTGGTGTCGAGCAAACCGAAAAGCTGGCGCGCGTCTATCGCGCCCATGACACAAGGCCGTATCCAACCTACCTAGGCGGCCAAACCGTCACCGTGGATATCGCGTCTCTCCTGAAGGCTCCCGACTCAGATGAGTCCTCCACCGCTCCGCCTCAGCATACCCGATCATCGTCAGACCCGTCCGCAACCGCAACCACGGCGGCCACAGCGCCTGTCAGCGGGCTACCTCCGTATGGCCCGCCTCCCGTAGCACCGGGCCTGGCTGTGAGCGGCAAGCGTGCCATGCCACCGCACGTAGCGGAGTCTCCGGCCAAGAAGCAGAGCAAGTGGTCGCCGGAGGAAGATGCCTTGATCATCGAACTTCGGGGGAGCGGAATGAAGTGGGAGGACATCTCGAAACGTCTGCCGGGAAGAAGCGCCATCAGTTGTCGACTTCACTACCAGAACTACCTCGAGAGGCGGAGCGAGTGGGACGAGGAGCGCAAGAACAAGCTTGCACGGTTGTACGAGAGGTATGATTTGATCACAAGAGCATCGGAATCGCCCTCGATTCGCTTGTTCCATCTTGAGGAGAAGAAAACTGACATGTTGAATCAGGTTCAAGCCGGAGATGTGGGCAAAGGTTGCGGAGGAGATGGCCGTTCCTTGGCGAGCCGCAGAAGCCATGCACTGGCAGCTTGGCGAAGCGGACATGGCTCGACGAGCCGGTGTCGTGCCCTTTTCTTTGACCGCAGTCAACGTCGACCAGCCTGGCGGTGGCCACCGGCACTCTCCTTCTCGGGGGCACATGCACACCCAGTCCCAGCCTAGCCTGCCTCGGGACATTGGCGGGCCTTCCCCTCGATACAGCCGACCACCACCGCCTGGTATATCACCGATTCCCGGTGGACGAGTCATCGCCGCCCGACGTGAGAGCATTCCTGGCAGGCCGCTGATGGGGCCGGACCCGAACGAGATGGCGGGTATGGGGCCAGGTGGTCCCGGTTTAGCACCGATTCAGGGACTTCCGCCAGGCCGAGGCGGGGGCATGCTTCCGGGAGTTGCCGAACTGACTACCGGTGTCAGCCCGTATAGCACTCCAGCATACGCGATGGGCGGTATACCTACGGCAAGCCCCGTGCCCAGCGCGAGAGCTAGCCCGGGACCGCTGCTTCCAGCCCTCCACTACCCACCGCCTCACGAACAAGCCGGCGCGAAACGACGAGCCAGCCCAGGCACAGAGATGATGGGCTCAAGGGAAACGAGCCGACGACGGCACATGGATCCCCGTCAGGAGGAGATGGATCGGCGACGTGTGGCATGATTGCGAGGGCAGGGCGAAAGCGGTGATGGCGCGGCGAACTTTGGAGTTGGGAACAAAATTCTTTCCGAGGGGGGGACGACACGAATCGGCTCTCCCCCCTCTTGATTTTTCATGAGAGCATGGGAAACCTCCGAGGATTGTTTTTTTCGTCCAACGTGTGCGGAGGGCACGACACACGGCACGGGAACAGCATGTTGCATCGGGATTGGAGCAAGATTTTGTCTCATTTTTCTAACTTCTCATACACATAACATCGTTCACCACTCGAGGTTGACGCTATCTCTCTTGAAAAAGCTTCCCTCTTGTCGGGCAACGGATCTCCTCACGGCCACGTCGTCTTCTTCGTGTCATTTAACTTTTAACCTTTTTTTCTTCTTTCTTTTCTCTTCCTCATACTCCTCTCCAACCTTGCCCTTTGGTGGTCATTTTTTCCAGCCGGCGGTGTTGCGAAGAAAGGGAAAACAAAAACAATATTTTTTTTTTGCCGTTGGGTTTTTACGGTACCCGGCAGGTTGGGGGAGGGAGGGACGGACCGGGGGGGCATCGGATCGGACTCATCATTTCATGGCCACAAAAAAAAATCACGAGGGTGTTGTTGTCGATGTCGTTGTTGGGTATGCAAAGGTGTTTTCCAAGAGAGGTGGGACGGAGGGAGAGAAGAGTATGTTTATGAGCGTGTGTTGGTTTCTTCTGTATGTATTGTTCCGGATAGTTGTGCGTGAGAGACGTGGAGGGAGAGAAAGAGGGACAAAGAGAGACCGAGTGTAGTGGAAGCGGCGAGGAGTAAACGAAACACGTCACTTGACGAAGAGATGGATTATGCTCATGATAGAATTTCAAGGTCTCTAGATCACTTTTTTTTTTTTGGCTTGCCTCTCTGTTGTTGCCGCTGATAGACTTGTCGCTCTCATCTTTCCATCTCACCCTTCCGCATTTCTCTTGGGCTGTATGTCCGAATCCCATCTCATGAGTCCCGACAAAAGATGGCCCACCAGTTATCCCTCTCATAACCGCTCTCGAGCACCCTACCCCCGACCTCCACGACGTCCTCCTCGAGCTCGCCCTCGCGGTAGAGGTGGTAATACCTCTGGAACGTCTCATCCTTGGCGGGTTCGGCGGCGGCTTTCTCCTTCTCTTGCTCCTTGCTTTCGGGCTTCTCCTTCTTCCCCTTTGTCACCCACGACACGAGCTGATCCTGCGCGGCGCCGGCGTCCCACCCGCGCCGGCTGTTGCCTTGCTCCAGCGCCCAGACCATGACGAGGACTCTGCCCCCTTGCTCCGTAGCAGTGCCGGGGCGCACGGCGGAGAGGAGAGCCGCTACGGCGGCGCGGCGGCGTTCGCGGGTGGACATGTGGTGGATTACGGCGATGGAGATGGCGAAGTCGAAGGCGGAGGTGCGGTAGGGGAGGGCGAGGGAGTCTGCTACGAGGACCTGGTTCTTTGGTGGTGGTGGTGGTGGTGGTGGTGGTGCCGGTGCCGGTGTCGCAGGTGCTTCGGAGTCAGCCGTGACCTTCTTGTTGCCGCCCTTGTTCTTCTTCTTGGGCCCGGCAGCGGCGTCAAAGTGCGGCGGCTGGTAACTCCTCGCCAGCGAGACGAGGTTCGCGCTCCGGTCCGAGGCGACGACGAAGAGGTCCGGGTTGACGCCGATGTACTTGCCGTTGCCGCACCCGGCGTCGAGGCCGACGGAGCCGGGCGGGAGGGAGAGCAGGAAGGAGGCGACGAGGGGCCAGGGCTTGTAGCGCGTCGAGGAGAAGTGCGGGGCGATGGCCTCGTAGACTGTGTGGACGTGGCGGGATTCGTAGGCGGCGGCGGTGTCGTTGTCTTCGTCTTCTGCTGGGGGCGGGGTAGTTGGTGTTGCGTCCTCTGAGGTCTCTTGGGGTGCGTTGGTGGTGACGGTGTTGCTGGATGTTGAGGCGGACGGAGGGACCGGTGACCGGGGATCGGCCGGCACGGCCGGGTGGCCGGGGCCGGGTTGGGGGCCGGATGAGACGGTCATGGCTGATGGTGCCGGAAGGGGTGTGTGTGTGAGAGAGAAAGCGTACGTGTGTATGTGTGGCGCGTTGGCTTCCAGTCTTCACACCACAGGGCAGCTTATTTCCTATCCTGGAGCTTCGGGACCCTTGTAGTCTAATCAAGCCCTGCACGAACGGCTCTTCTCACCCCCTTGCTTTTGGTCCTGCTATATCCGTACGAAGCAAATAGAGGAAAGGAGTTTCGGTCGATCAGGGGGTGTTCTTGCGAGTGCGAGACGGGGGGAAAGAGAGAGTGTGTGCAAGGGGTGTTGGGAGAAGACTCCCTTCGGAAGAGGGGAGGGGGGAGAAAAAGTCGGTAACCAGGGCCCTGGTCTACGGTCCCGTTAAGGTTTTGGGATGTCCCGAGTTAAAGATAGCGCCCGCTAAAAGCGCGTTCGCGCGCCAAGACACAACGCAGCCTTCTTTTCCTTTTTGTGTGTTCTGGCCGGATATCGTCTGTGTGTTCCCGTTGCGCTTGCGGCTTTTTGTGGTGGGCGGCGCGCGCGTGTGTGTGGATATTAGTCACACCAGCCACTGCAGGAAAGGGAAAACTGGGATTGGGATTGAAAGGATGGATTGTCGGATGAGGCTCGTGCTCCTGCAGATAGTGGGAGGCGTCTGATGGTATCTGTAGGTAACGCGGGTGTAAAGGGTGTGTGGCTACAACAGAACAAAAGTAAAGCGAAAGGGGAACGTTGGGAATTTGTGAGCCACCAACGGGAAGATGACGATTTGTGACAATGAGCGGGGCGGGAGGAAATGCTGTCTGAGCGTTTGCATTTTACGTGTGGCGTCCGTTCGGTGTGCGCTCCACTGAAAATCTCAACTCGGTGAGCCGGTGTGCAGAAGCTCTTTTAGTTTTTTGCTTCTTTTCTTGACTTTCATGGGCGTGTGGGGGCCAAATTCAAGGAGGGGGGAATATCTTTCGGGAAAGAGGGAAGCGGGGGGGCCGCTCCGGCTCGGCGCACACCGAGTCCGGTAGCTCCGGGCTGGGGTAACACATAACCGGGACCGTTGCTCGCCGGTCATCTCTTCCACATTCAAATAGAGACAGCTGAGCCGACAAGGAATTCAGGAGGATTAAGGACTACCCGATCTGGTCCTTACCGAATGCAGGCACCGTAACCTCAATTCCCCCGATGGCCACTCCTGCGGCCGCGGCCGCCGACTGGGCCGCAGAAAACGGATGGTGGGTGGGCCACCGTCATTGTGGACGGATCGTGTTTAGGCTGCAGGCAGCAATTGCATGAACACCCCATGGGGCTGACCGTGGTTGACCGGCGTAGATAAGACATAGTTATACTGCTACTTGGGGGTACACCACGCAGCTTTCCGTCGAGGAAATTTTACAAGAAGGACAAAAAATCGAGATAAAGCTATTGTGCGAGATTCGAGTATGCAGTGGAATGATCAAGTCTTCATGTTCCTTTCTCAGGAGAATTACGACCATGGGTACCTGCAGGCTGAGGCGCGGCACGGAATTAAGCGCTGAACTCGAACCCCGGTATCGCAAATGGGAGGGGGCCTTGTCCCGGATCGGTCTACTCCGGGTGAGTACTCCGTACAAGCCGCTGCTCACGAACTACTTTCGAAACGAACGAGAAAGTCCCTGAAACCAGATTCCTGTCGTTCGTAAATGATTTATGTTACATCCACAACGTGCGAACCGATCACGTTCGATCCATGGTGTCTGCTGCCCGTAATAGCATTATAAAGTAAGGAACAGGAGGGTGAGGTAGAGTAGGGGAGTGTATGGATACAGAGGTGCTAACACTGCTCGGCAGAGAGGAGCAAACAAATTTGCCCAGGGAGGTATCCGTATGAAAAGGGCGAGACAGTTACATTCCAGACCGGGGCTTCAAACGCATTTGGAATTTTCCAAAGACTCGGTACGAACGGATGGGGGCTCATCCTCGAGTGATTTCGTGCGTGATTGTCGTCAGGGATTCTGAGCCGTCCCCTTCGGCTCGGATTGCCTGCGAAGGACGAGTTCGACAGGAATTGCGATTTCTAGTCTTCCAACAGAGCATTACGTTCCCCGTTCTGAGGGGAGCTCCCAAATGCACTCGAGAAAGGCCAGAAGAACAAATTAGGAAGAAATACCGCCCATGTTGGCTGGATAGTATGCGCCCCGCGGGTCTCTGCTTGCTTTGGTTACACTGTATATAATACCTTACGTGCGAACCTCTTCCCGTGCGGCGTTGGAGGCTTCAGCCCACCGGCCCCTATTTCGTAAGGCAAGTAAGTGTTGGTGATGTCAGACTCAGGTGGTACCGCTCGGGGCCCCTGTGTCCCTTGAGGATTTTAATCTCCGATCCGGCAGGGAAAGACACATTCAAGGGTCAAGAGCAAAAGAGAGGGGGGCGTTGCCATAGCACGTACCTAGTTTGGTCTGCATTTCTGTTAGCGACCGTTTGTGTAAGTTTGCTTTACTTCGTTGCATCTCTTTCTACCATATTTCTTTGCGCGTATCAATTTGTGGCTGGTGCCTTGCGGATATTCTTTCCAGCCTCTAGACTTTCTCTCGTGGCCACGTGTGGGAATTGGAGATTGCGTGTGACAAGAGGGATGATGATCACACTCGTGTCTGATGGACACGTCCATCAAAGGTGGAGTCCCTGATGATGATGATGTTTGCCCGCTAGAGACATGTTCGTTGCCCGCGTGGCATTTAACTTTTTGGTACCTGGTCCACGGTCGAACAGGGAGGTAAAGAAGGAATGTGTGTGGTGGGGTGGAAAGTAGAGCCGTTGCCGTCACCAGGTTTGCGCCACACGTCTGTAGCTTCAAGAGAAATCGAGAGACACTGATGTACGACGATCGCGGGCCAGTAAAAGGCTTATTTTTATTAGACTTCAACTACGGCGCCCCGGGCCGGGTTGGCGGACTCAATGTCCCGGGCCTCCCGAAAGCGGGGCCGCGCATTCAATCCAAGATTTCTTCACTAAGGTATCTTCCCGTACAACCGGATTTATACAACACCATATTTTCAACCATCGCGCCTTCATCTTAAGCATTACCCAGGTTCAATGGGCTCTGGGCGTCAAACTTGTGGGTGGTGATGAGCTCAGGGTACTGGATACCACCTTGCTTGATGACGCTGTCCATCGTCTCCATAATAACAAGAGACTCCGACAATGGCAACGTTGCGCTCTCCGTCTTTCCATCGCGCAGGCATCGCGCACACTCGTCAGCCTCCCAGAACATGCCGTGGCCCCAGTCGCGTTCCTTGTCCTTGGGGATGGGGCAGTCGACGACCTCGACCTCTTCGACGCCCTTCTTGACGACCTTGTACGATGTCGGCCTGTAGGCAGGGTGGGAAACCTGAATCTCGCCCTTGGAGCCCTGGATGCGGATCGCAGGCGCCGTCTCGCCCTTGTGGCCGTCGGGTGCCGTGTCGACGCGCAGCGAGGTGGTGGCGATGCCGGTCATCTGGTGCTTGGGGAAGTTGAGGATCATGGTGGTGGACTCGTCAGCACCGGTGACCGGGTACTTTTGCACTGAGGCCAGAACCTCAGGGCTCTCCTTGTCGGCCTCGGCTTCTGGCTGCAGGTGATACAACGTCTGGAAGATCCAAGTCAGAGAGTAGATGCCCAGGTCGAGCAGGGCGCCGCCGGCCAGCTCGGGGTTGACCATGCGGTGGGCATCGGGGAAGGACAGCTTGCCAGAGGCATCTTCGGCATTGCTGTTGAAGGACAGGTCCGAGGTGGCGCGGTAGACCTTTCCGATGGCGCCCGAGGAGATGAGCTCGCGGATCTTGATGCTAAGGGGGAAGTAGCGAGTCCAGACGGCCTCCATGAAGAAGAGCTTCTTGGCGCGGGCCGTCTCGACGAGGACGCGGGTCTGCTCGGCAGTGACGGTCAGGGCCTTTTCGCAGAGGACGTTCTTGCCGGCGTCGAGGGCGAGCATGGCGTTTTGGAAGTGGTGGGAGTGCGGGGTGGCGACGTAGATGATGTCGACGGCCGGGTCGCGAACGAGCTCGGCGTAGGAGCCGTAGACTGTTGTGTCGGCGGGGGCGTCAATCTTCTTGACAAAGGCGCGAGCCTTTTCGGCGTCGCGGGAGGAGGAGACGGCGGCGATGCGGTGGGCGACGTCGGTCACCTCGCGCGAGGCCGGGTTGGTCAGGAGGTCCTTGCAGAAGGCTAGACAGAAGGTATGGTCAGTTATCGCTTGGAGGTAGAGGTGCTCGGTTCTATCGGTGGAAGCATACTTTCGGCGATCCAGCCTGTGGCCATGATGCCCCAGTTTACAGTGTGAGGCGCCATTTTGGGAGCTTGATGTGATGAATTACAGGGTGTGTTGCTTGGCTTGAGGTTCTGCTGCTAAGAATTGACAGGATCTCAGCAAGGAAATCGAATGCCTGGGTATATATGAGACGATCGAGACTTGAGAGAAAAGAAAGAAGAAGAGCAGACGGGTCATCGAGGTGCGAATCGGCGAGGATGCCTTTCCCTTTTCTATCCCGCGCGACCATCCCTACAACGCGGAGCGGACCCTCCACCCCCAAATTCTCGGAGCTAGTTGCTGCGGGGTACGAGAATAGCAAAAATGGCAGGGGCCAATTGTTAAACATGAAAGCCACCCAAGCTAGGTAAATCCAACATGCGACGAATCGTCGATGCAAATCGTAACCAAAGGGGCATGACCACACCACACCAGCACTTAGACCATAGATCACCATGTCTGATGAAGTTTTCTGATTGCATAAGGGCTTCAGTTTCCGGAGCATGCAGTTTGAGACTGACGAGCCAGCTTAGGACCAATGCGCTTGGCCCGTCAGATAATCATGAATATCACCAGCCAATTTACAAACACGTCCCGGTGTTCCGATGGTGACGGTAAGTGCATAAACATTTGCATGAGCCGCAAATATAAGACGAGTCACCAAAGATGCGATTTGATTTCCGTGCCCCCGTCCCCGTTTCTCGCCCCCTTTTCCCCGGGTAAATTGACTTTGGGGTTTGGTGTGAGAATGGGTCCTTTTCGCCGATACTCCGCGATGACACATGGACTCGCAAAGGAGCTGTCCGGGGTCAGTCAAGACCGATATCGTAACGCAAACTTCGTACCTGAGGTGAGCCGATTCGACCTTCCGGCCCCACCAACTTTTTCGACTCCTAGAGTTTCCTCTTTGGGCCAATTTGGAGATGGATGGAGCTGGGGGAAGCTCTTGGTGTGGTGAGTGGTGAGTGGTGACTCTGGCGGGCGACGGGATGGCGGGGTTCGTGTTGTTACCCCGCGGCGGAGCCCTCGTTTGCTTATCAGCGATAAGACGTCATAGACGATAAGGTACCTCAGGTAACGTACCTTCCAAAGGTTGTACAGTGAGGTGCTGATGTGAAGCCATTCGGAATACACAGAAGTATTCAGATCCTGAAGCCTCATGTACTCCCCTCCCATGGTCTATAGGCCAATTCACCTCGGAAATTCTCAACAGCAATAAAGGGGAACTTGCCCAGAAGACAAAGCTATTTGTAAACCAATCCTGAGGTCAAATTTACCGGGCTGTAGTTTGTGGGTTCGAATCCCACAAGCGCCTTCTTCAATTCGTTTTTTTTTTGTGGCACTTTTGTTCTTGATCTTGATATCAAGTACTCAGATACCGATTGAATTTTATTGATTGGAATTAATACACAATTAATTTTCTTTTCTCTCCCTCACCCCTTTCATATGCCACTCTGAGCCTTTACTGATTAACTACGAAGGTACCCGACCACCTCGCAGGTACCTATGCACACATCCTGCGACAACCTCCCGTCGCCAACATCCTCTCCTTCAACACCTCACCATCCTCAACAAAGGTGAACTCATCACACTTCCTATTATCTCCGCGTACAACTTGGACCTCCACGCATACATTCTACCTGTACACCAACAACATCTCATCAAAAATGCCACAAACAATCGCCCCCATCCCCCGCCTCATCTACGGCACAGCCTGGAAGAAATCTCAGACCGCGCCCCTCGTCGCCTCCGCCCTCGCCGCAGGCTTCCGCGCCCTCGACACCGCCGCGTCCCACCACTACTCGGAAGAAGGCGTCGGCGTCGGCCTCCGCCAATTCCTCTCCCAGAGCCCCTCACCGGCCGCTCACGGCATCACCCGCGCGGGTCTCTACATCCAGACCAAATTCTCCCCCGCCCCATCAGACCTGCCCATCCCAGACCAAGTCCACAAGTCCATCGCCTCCTCCCTCAAAAACCTCGCCGTCGACGACAAATTCTTTGCGCCGTCACCTACAGACTCCCCAGAAGCGCAGAAGAAGGAAGGCGACGAGGACTTCTACCTAGACTGCGTCCTCCTCCACGCCCCCTACCCCTCCTACAAAGACACCCTCCTCGCCTGGCGCGCCCTGGAAACGTACGTCCCCGCCCGCATCCGCACCCTCGGCATCTCCAACGTCGACCTGCCGGACCTCCAGCGCCTCTGCGACGAGGACGCCGTCATCAAGCCCGTCGTCGTGCAGAACCGCCTGAATCCGGACGAGGGGTACAACACCCCCGTCCGCGTTTTCTGCCGCGAGAGGGGGATCAATTTCCAGTCGTTTTGGACGCTGACGGCGAATCCGAGGCTGGTGAGGAGTTCGTTTGTGAGGCAGGTTGCCAAGGGTGCGGGCGTGAGCGACGAGGTTGCGTTTTATGGGTTGGTGTTGGGGTTGGAGGGGGTGAGTGTGTTGGATGGGACTACGAATGAGGTGAGGATGAAGGAGGACCTTGAGGGCGTGGAGAAGGTGGTAGCTTGGGCTGGTGGTGATGGCGCTGAGGTGTGGAAGGAGAGTTTGGCGGCGTTGAAAGCTGTGCTTGGTGAATCTTGAGGCATGCCGAAGAGGGAAGACACCGATCATGATGGACGGGATAGTGAGAGGTACCCAGCAGTAAGTTTGTCTATTCGAGCGGAGAAAAAGTCTTGGGACTCCGCGGAACTAATCATGAAACGCCCAAGAATGCAGTCTGTCCTGGGTATTTCCTCGGTTCTTCTGCCAACCCTCTCTCGCCAGAGTCCTGAAATGGCTGTATTGCAAGAAAACACCGTCTCATCCCCCTCTCTCGATATTTTGACCGTCCCCAACCCTAGTCCAGGAAATCATCCTGGCAGAAACAAGACTCGCTGTGGTATCTTAAATCCCAATAAAGAAAAGCACGAGCCGATATGGCTATCGTGTTGTTGTCGTCGTCTGCGGCCTTGCTCTCGTATCGTATCCTATCAACCTCATCATTATGGAAAGAAACCTTTCTGCCCCCAAGCAATGTCATTAGTCGTCCGTATTGTATTCCTGGTCGTCCACCAAAACCACCACCGTCAAAGTTGCTGCGTATGCCTCGCGAATAGCACAAGCCATGCTGGGCAAATGTTAGCAGAGTCTCCATCAGAACCCAAAGTCTCCCGGAAAACTCACCATGTCTTGCGAATATCGGCAATCACAGCACTCAGTCCCCAGTGTGAACACCAGGCCCGTGCCAAGACCTCGTTGTCCCTCACTCCAAAGGCCTCCACTACCAATACCTGCTCTTCGTCGACTTGATCCTGGCTGCTTGCTGTGTGTGGGCCTGCTGTCGAGCTTGTCCTCGAACTACGAGCACTTGGAGACTGACCATACAGCCCACCCCAATCCTTGATGTTCATGATCTCATCGGCCTTGACGGTCTGGAAGACGTAGTCGAAGAATAATGGATGAGGTCCACCCGAACACGGCCAGGCCGAGATAAAGGATACATCGTACGTGAGGCGCATAGGCCAGGACACCCCATCCACTGCGAATTGCACCGTTGCATCAAAAACCTTTGGCGCTGGCAGAGGTTCTTGGAAACGGTCCGGGACAGCCTTGAAGCTGAGCAGCTCGATGCGGACAGTATCAACAATGTCGTCTGCGTCGGGAGCCACGAGCTTGTATTCCTTGACCGGGAATACCTCAGCTGGGGGACCCAGAGGGTCAGATCGTTCGCTCATCGACTGTACGTCTTCGGGGGTCATGCGCTGCCGAGGGCGCCGAGAGCGCACGCGGGCGATTTGCGATCGGCCAAGATCGGCAGTCGGACGGGCTGGCCCGACCCAGCCTGCCAACGATCGACAAGTCGGGGCAAGGACCTTTCCGACAATCGAAGCAGCAGTCCAGTAGGTGTAACTATTCCTATATTGAAACCCACAGTGAGGATGTAGGTGCGTCATCATGGCCAAGGAGTCGGTTGCCTTGTCGGGGTCAATGTCGATGAGGGTGTTCATGATGAGGAACGGAAACGTTGTCTTTGCTTGTTAGCAGGTGCGCGAGGAATCTCTTCGTTGTCAGTGAGCGGAACTTACGCCTGGCAGTACAAGACCGCTAAAGAATGCCAACGCGTCGGAGCTGATAATGTCCAAAGTTGCGTCCATGTCCCTCTGCTTCATTTTATCAAGAGTCTGGCTCAGGTTTGGCCACTTCATCATCTGAGCAAAGCGCCGTAGCATCTTGATCTGACGCTTCTTCAGCCTGAAGCGTAGGTTGACTGTCGCAAGTTAGATCTGGTCAAGAGAGATGGGCATGAGTAGGCAGCTTACTATCTTCCACCGACTTCCCATAACCCTCAACCCTTACATGTTCCCGCCAGCGTCTGGCAAGCGCAAGGTCCCACTGGATGGTGGGCGGTAGTTGGGGCAGCAGCTTCTCCTTGGCCCATTCCCCATGCAATCTCGAATTGATCCGTAGATCAAGTTCCATGCTGAGAACGAGTTGGTGGCAAAACTTGATATACTGCTGTTGGCTTCCGTGGCTCGGGTCGAAAATGAAGCGAGTGACAACTTGGTTCTTGGGGTTCGTAAAGTCGATCCAGTCCGGACGCGACAAGACCATGATCAGATCCGTAATCTGCTTATCGAGTCCCTTGTGCGGGCTCATCATCTTGTCGGGGTCGCGGAGGAAGCGGCGATATAAGCTTTTGTACATCCACTCTTCGTCATCGTCTTCCAACCCCGCCTCCAGCTCCTTCAGACGCTCAAAGATACGATCCAAGCCGACCTCTCTCGCCGTTGCGCCAGAGTCTCTCAAACCGATCGTTGGAGGCTTGATGCTAGCCAGACAAGCCCATTGGTTCAAGGTGATGGTGCCGGGCTGTTGACCGTAAAAGTAGGCGAAGCTCGGCTGTTCCAAGGACTCCCACGGATATATCGCTGAACCGCCACCCTGCATACGGAGGGTCATCAGTTGGGTCATGTGGTCGTGCAGATTGACGACATCCGTTTCTTCGGCATCGTTGCCGGCGGACGTGGTGTAGAGGGCGTAGTAATGATCGGATGCATGGGGTACAGGACGCTTGTGGCCTTTGTGGGCCGGGGCGCCGCGGGAGACGAGTTCCATGGCATGGCCAAGGGTGAGCTCCTCTTGACTTGACATGCCGGAGGGCGGCCATTCTGTTAGTGGTCCCTGCTCGAGGATGATGCCGTTGGGATGCGCGCGACCTTTTCCTTTGGCTCTTGCGGGATCAGGCCTTCTAGGTCGTCTGCGCGAACGGGGATGGTCTGGGTGAAGATTTGGGTGGCCGTTGGGAGACTCGACTGTTCTCGAGGCCTTGGGCATGTCTGGTAATGACTTGCGTCTCCGCGGGACTACATCTCCATCGCTCGCCCTGCGCGATTCTGGATTCTCCTGCAATTGTTGTCAGTCAAAAAAGTCCCGAAATGGAGCGCGTGTGTCTGTCACGGCGCAAAGTGTTTGGGTCGTCGAACCAGTCTCCCTTTCTTTGCCAGGCTCCTGTTGCGAAAAATGCTGCCCCAGAAGCTCTTCTTCTCGCTGCGGCCCTCTCGGTCTCTCTCCTCTTTAACGTCGGCCATGTCTCATTAACGAATTATGTGTGAGCGACCTCGAGGCCGTGTCATGCGCTTGAGGAAGATATTGTCAAGTGATAAACAAACAATGTTTGTTGGGTTGATTGAGGCCCGGGCGGGAATGGGCACAAGTGAAGTCGTCAGTCTGCGTGGCTGCGCACCATGCGCGTCACGAGGAATGCGCCTGTCGCAGACAGCTTGAAGTGCTCAGCATCGACTTTAATACTTTGCAGGCGTAAAGATGTTGGTGGTTAGGGATAGATTTCTTTCGCGTTTAGAGCAGCAGTTGAAGCATCCTTTCTCGAAAGCGCGGCGATCTAGAGCGATTTATCAAGATCGGTATCCGTAGGAACAGGACGTCTTCGTCGGAGGTTGGGTCCAAGGTCTGTGTGGTGAATGTCTGTGAGGCAATCTGAAAGAGATCAGCGAAGCATCTCAAGTCGACGTGCCGCAATAAGTCGAGGTGGGCGCAGCGCTATGCGAAGCTGGAAAATAGCCGTTGTGCCCCGTAAGGTAGCTTGTTGCTCACGGTCGTTCTCGCAGCGGTCCGTCCACAAACCACGAATTATCGGGCAAGTCAAAGTTGGGAGCAAAAAGATGGTGGTTGTCCAGTCGTGGCGCTCACTGCAGGTTGAGGTGGTGGTTCACGTGTCGCAGAAGCATGAGATGACGGAGTGAGTCCGGGCGGCGGCGGGTCTCCTTTGGTTTTTGGGTTTCTGGGTTTCTGGGTTTCGGGGGCAGTGAGGGAGAGAGTGAATGAGTGGCGGAGGGTGAGTGTGAGAGGTGTGGTGCGTGGTGAGTGAGTGCTGTGCGGTAAAGTGGTGAGTGAGTGATGTGTGTGAGAGTGAGCGAGCGGGCACCCGGGAACGGGAGGAACCAAAGTGAGTGGACGGGGCAGTACGGCACGTTGACTGATGCGATGCAACGGAGCGGCGATGGACACCAGGACACGACAGCTGCGGCGTTTTTAGATCCAATGCCATTGAATTTTTCTTTCTTTTCTTTTCCAACGCAGGGCTGCAGCTGCTCCAGTTGCTGCGGACATGTCTCGCTAGTTTTCATCTCCTGCAGGTCGCTGGTTCCTTGCTTCACATTTCTCTTCCGTGATGGGATCTACTCAAGGTAATTACCAACCTACTGGCCTTAGTATACATTCTATCGCCCCAGAAAGATGGAAGGTACCGCGGTGGGGGAGATTCAGATGTCCGTCACTGGCCGGATGGATGGTCGCGGGTCTGCAAGCCTGGTCAGGAAAGGTCAAGTAAGGGTACCTACCGGTCTACCTTCTTCCCACTTTCCAACTCACTAATACCGCGTATATGGAAAGGAAGGGACGGATAGATGTTCATGTAAGTGACATTTCGCTAGAATAGAACAACTAAGATGAAGGCAGGCAAGTGTCACGGATACCTTCCTTAGCTTCATCTTAGACGCGGGAACAGAGGAACGTCAACGGTGCACACTGCCACACACGCTGCCTGTCGTTCTGCTTGCTGGGTTCTTAGTGAGCCACGCCAGTCAGTCAATACCTGACTGCCTTATTACTTTTAGAACCAAGATCAGGTGGCTGTGGGAAAAGTCAACCACGCAACCGCAAACGAGGTTCGTCGTGATAGGCCAAGCCGTCGCAGATGCCCGACAACTCAACAGCGAATGAGCCTGCACGTTTGACCTCGAGGAAAGGGAAACCCAGTCTCCCTTGCCGGCATGCAAGAAATCCAAACCTGCCACGTCGTATGTCATCCCGCTCTCTCCACGCAATCTGACTCGCCTAGCACCAACTCCAGGGCCATGCGTCTGCCCGAGCTTCTTCGTCCCTCGTTTGCCTCGTTTTTTTGGGTGTGCTTGTTCCAAAATTTCCAACAACCGCTTCTTACTACCTATCCGTAGTCTACTAGGTAAGCAGTACACGACACCCATCGAACAAACTGGACGCCCTATCCGGATCCCGAATCCAAGGAACCCCAATCCTAGCTTTGTCCAACTATTACCGCCAACAACAAACCACTTGTTCACCTCCACCGCCGGCACTAAAGCCCACGAACCCATCTTTTACCGCCCTCGTCCATGCACGTCAACGACCGCTTTTACCATCCGATGCCGTAACAAGAGTTCGACGCCCGTTGGACCGCTCCTCGATCGAGATCGCGACCCCTCGAGATGCTTGTTGCCCAGCCGCCCAATCAATCTCTTACGTCTCTGTACAGGAACTGGCTCCTGTCTCCAACGACCTAGGCCTTTTATTCCAACAGAACCGTTCTCAGGGTCCGCCGCCTTCGTCTCGTGAGCGAAACATTTACCCAGAGTCAACTCTTCTTCGGAAGCCTTTACTTTATGTCGTGATGCCCGGCTCCGAACCAGACTCCAGCAAACTCGGATGGCCGCCCACCGGACCTCGACGCTGCCGCCTCCAGAAACCAATGTCCGACACTTCCGGCATCCACTCCGTTGGCCTTGCCATGGCCGCCCTGCGCCCTCTGCCGCAGCAGAGCAGAGAAGTCTCTTTTACGTCATCGACTGGTCGCCATTCACTAACCGGCGGCTTCTCCAACATTAACATGCTGGCTGCTATACGCGCTGTGAATCTGGCGTGGTCTAACGAACCGACGATGTTACTCCCCGCCGTTCTCATCGGTGGACCAGTGGTCTGACATGTTCCTCAATCTAAAGGATCTTCCTGGTGTAACTCTGGATCTTGTGTTTCGACCTGTCGTCCAGATGGTGTGACAGCCGGGTCCAGGGTCTCTGGTATTCTGGAAGCCGTCGTTCTGATTCCATATTAAAGGCCTTGTATAGACCTCCAAGTTACCTGTCCACATGATGTTCGCTGCATCTCGACGCTCTCGCCCGCCGCGGCATATCTTGCTCAACCCTCTCATGTCCCCGATGTAATAAGTCCTCGGCACTCCGAACTCCGGTTAAGTAGCTCCGGCCTGGCGGTGGAGAAGGCAAGCAGTCTGATAAGCAGTATCTGCTTACAACTCATGGCTCACGTCCAAGTCCAGCACTCCAATGGACCACAAAGATAGCCACGGAGACACGGAAATCCTCCCTTCGAAACACGCTGTTGGACAGAGATCGGTCCAACCTTCTTGGCGCACTGAACTACGAGCCAGAGGTTATCTACAGAGTTCAACCTAAGCACTGGGCAGACTCTTGGACCCTGAACTTTCCTAGATGATCAGAAAGCTACACCTTAACATGCCGAATTTGTGAATTCTGGTGCCCATCTTGTGAACTCACGGACTATTGCCGGCGATGCCATTTCCCTTTCCGTATGCCATATGCTCTTCCGGAGTCTGTTCCGCTCCGGACCCACCTAGTGACCACCTGCTATCGCGTTCATGCACTGGGCCATAGCATATCACACCTGTCGATATCGACTGAATGCGCCCAGGGAAAGATCACGGCTGGACGCGGTAGTTTGGTGAAGAACCCCGCCTGAGCCCCTGGATACATGATTTACGTACTCTTTGGGACCAGTAAAGTATGTAAAGGCTACGGTGTTCAATAGTAGTAGATTCCGGCTGTAACAGTGCCGTAAGTGCGCCCACGCCTTTCTTGTGTTCTCATTCGCCGGTTTTGCCTTTGATATCTTCAGCCGAAGCGTACTGAAGGACAAAATGGCGTTCACAGACCTAGATGGGGAAATGGTGCCTGGATGGTGCTTTTGCGGCACCGGCAGCGCTCTTCTCCGTGGTTCGTCAACCGGGAAGTGTTTTGCGGCAATTGATAGCTGGCCAGTAGAACATCAATCGAAGTAAGTCAGGTGATGAGTAGCAGTGGCTCCCTCTCTATTGCTACTTGCCGATTTGTCGACTTGTATTGTGTAGGTTCGGACAACAAGGGGTTACGAATACTCTGTAGCCTTGGTCTGAAAACGTACTCAGAATTCCAAATTGGTCAACTGCCAGCTCTGTTGATGATCCGGTTTGGTGGCATACATAACACGCGCCTCTAGACCGACAAACCAAAAAAACAAAAGAGTTCACCCCCCCGGTGGCGAACGGGGGCTACATCTCTTGGTGCATATGCTGGATTTTTTGGTCGACTTGAACTCGGGACCTCTGAGCCTTCACCGATTAGGCTATTCGTGGACTTCAACCACTCCACCACCCAGCCAGTTTTGACCTGACCCCCAAGGGGGCGCCTGCTGGCTGGTGACTGGAATGGATTTGAGAGAACCTATATGGGCTTCTTCCTGTGTTGAATCCTTCATCTGGGAACGCGAACATAGGAAGGAGTGGGCCTCAGCACGTGGCCTCTGGCAGGTGATAAAGGAAGGCGGAGGCCTAGAAGGAGCAGGTCAGAGGCACGCAGGTGGCCATATACGTCGCTCTTCTTGCCTCTGACGGGTTTTCCAGCCTATCGAATTCCGAGGTACCTTCCTGACGATTCTCAGGGCCTTCAAGCTACGTACTTATTTAGTTTACGTGGCCATGTCTTCTTCATCTCTACCCACAAGGTCGTCTGTCTCTACATGGTAGGTTAGAGAAAGGGCTCATCCAAACAAGAAGCTTGATACAAAGCTGTGGTGTGCTGAAATAGAGAAGAAAGATCAAACCCCTGATTCTTGTTTTCGTGAAGGGCTACCTCCAATGCCAAAAACGAACGATCTACTTTATCTCTTCTCTGCTAGACACATGGATTGTCAGGCAAGAAACAGACACATCGGCAGCTATAATCGTCACGCCACAAGAATCACTGGTTATATAGACCTCGGTTCACTCTCATTCCTTAAATCTGTCATTTTCATGGGTCAACTAGTGGCTACTCAGAATGCTGTCGGCTTGACAGTGCTTGTCATGTTACTGTGATCAACGGTTCTTCCCACTTGGTGAAACTGGCAAACTACCTAAAGACAAGACTATCAAGGTAGCAAGTGCAGATGTCGAGAGTGGTCGGGCATGCCAACGTCGACGCCATCTCCAAGCTTCGTGTGGGCTAGATCTCCTCGACTCCCGTCTTTTCAAGTATAGCACGTCTACTTCACGTCACCAGATGAATCACTCGACGCCAAGGGAAAGCCATCTACCTTAACTTGGGGAGCAGACATCTTGGCTAGAACCGTATACCGCCCAGGTGCGGCCAAGCGAGTGCCTCCTGTCCCAGAGCCTCCGCCCCCCGCCCCGTCAGGAAGGCGCACCTTCCCACCTCTACTTCCCTTCTTCCCCAGTAATGATTGTCCAGGTGACGTACCGAACTGCTTAAGGGGTCTAATCACAGTTCCTGTCACCAGCACCCACCTGGCCATTTGGCCGGGTGGTTTCGACTCTGACGCAGAGTCGTGTTATATGAAATACTCCAATGAAGCCGTGCTGGTCCAAGGGGCGCGCTGTTCGAATCCGAATAGGGGCGTGAATTATAAGGTCAGTATCCCCCCTCCCTCCCCTATTTCTTTTTTCTTTTCTTCTTTGTCTCTCATAGTTAGAAATGTTTGAGAGGATTACGCCATCTGAGAGAGAAGTCGTCTCCTTCAAACCAAGGCACTGCCTATAATGATGAGCTGTTCTGGTTGCATCATGATTTGTTTGTTTTCTGTATGCAATCCAGCATCTATCCTGGTTCGTACTACTCAGACTATCGGTCTAGAATTGGGCCATTGGTGACAAGCGTGAATGCCCTCCCTAGGAGACCACGATGTCCTTTCTCCATCTCTGGGATAATGCCTATCTAAGAAGCTGACGCAATTGCTTTGAAATCCGTTAGATGGCACATTGTGCATAGAAAGGTAGCGTCTGACTTACCTGTAATTTGGCTGTCAATTGTTGACTTGTCGCAGGCTTTGAGCTCAGGAGACTCATGAGATCACGCTTCCCGTTCTGGATATCCAAGACATACTATGACAATGGCTGTCAATAATCTTCTCCACCAGCATGCAGCGTTGCTTACCTGTTCGATGGAATTGCTTATCACAAATCGAATGGTTGTGACCTCTTGAGTCTGCCCTATTCTGTATATCCTCGCCAGTGCCTGCTCCTCGATAGACGGGTTCCATTGCGGCTCAAGTAGATAGGCTCTCGAAGCAGCAGTAAGCGTCAATCTATGTAAAAGACATTAGAGTTAATGACATGTTGCGTGATAGTGATACAACTTAGCGCTAAAGAATGGGCTGGACATACCCAACAGCGCCGCAACCTAAGGACAACAAAAGTACGGACGGCCCGTCCGCCTTTGAGAAGTCGTCAATGATACGACTCCTCTTGCTTAAGCTTTTCTTGCCATCGATCTTGGCGCAGCAGATTCCAGCGTCGTTGAGAGCTAGTTCCGCGACATCGAGGATGGATGTCCGGTAGGAAAATACAATGCTGGACTCCGTCAGCTACGTGATCTTAGGCAAGGAAGGCCTTGGTGTTACCTTTTTGTTCCCGGAACACAACATCTAATATCGTTGACAAGGGCTCTAATCTTGGTCGGCCATTGCTCTGTGGGCATGGAACCACAGAGCATGCTACTTGGTTCTGGGGTCCAGTTAAACCCAAGGCTAGGTAGTGGCGGACAGAAATTGTCAATCGCTTCGGCAATGGTGCCATTCTGGATATCTTCGTCCTCCTCTCTTTCTCTTCCGGGTGTAAGTGGGGTTGACTGTCGATCTGGTGTTCCTGGCAGGAGTCGCGTGGAAGATGTCGGCTTCTGAAAGCATCCTAGCTCACAGACAAGCCTCAGAGCGTTAATCTTCTCCAACGCATTACTGTAACTATCTTTACCTCTAGGAGATGCTAGTGCGTTGTCGATGAACTCAATGGTCTTAATCTTGACGGCGTCATACATACGTTGCTCCTGGGGGCCGAGATGAAGGTGCCGCCGGTGATCTCGTCGTTCTGGTAAGTTTATCGTGTCTTGCGAACGTCTCAGCATAACAAAGCCCAGAAGCTTCTTCAACACTTCCGGTCCAGTCTCTTCCCCGCGAAGCCAGGGGTTCGTTATGTCCTTGTCAAAGGCTTTCTTATCATCATACGGATACAACCCAAGGAAGTGAAATAAGCTGTGGAGCTCAGAAAGTCGGTTATGAATTGGTGTTCCGGTAACCACCCACTTGCATTCACCTCTTAGCTCACATATGGCTTGAGCTTTTGCTGTCCTGAGGTCCTTGATCTCATGTGCTGTGTTGATAAGTCAGCCTGCAGGTTGAGCACGATAATTGAGGGTACATACCTTCATCCAAAATGATTCGATGCCACTCATGTGAAAAAATCGGACTCTCATTGGTCTGCATATGAATTTTCCACTCCTTCGCAAGTGTCGTGTACGTCGTAAGGATGATGTCACTCGTGCTCAAGTGGCACACATCTTTCAGTTGGGTTTTCGCGTGATGACGACGCCAGTTGAAGTGACCCTTACGAAGGTGTCTAGGAAATTTGTTACTCGATCACATACACGAAGCTCTCGGTCTGTAAGATCACGTACTTCGTTAATTCCTTTTCCCAGTTGTCGAGAACTAAAGCGCAGATTGGTTAGTTCTGTTCAAGCAGGACTCTACATGTTCAATGACATACGTGAGAGAGGCACTATAACAAGGGTGCCACCAGAACCTAGCGAATTCGGTTCCTGTCTCACGGATTGCGATCCACTGTCCCAGAGCTTATCATGGGCAATGAGTGATATCATACTGAGTGTCTTGCCGAGACCCATGAAATCGGCAAGAATCCCGCCTTTGAAAGGAGCAGGAGGTGTGCAACGAAACGACGAGTTGACATTATTGATGTAACTGGACAGTCAGCTTAATTTCAGTGTGATAGAGAGGATTCTCACGTTGTTCTCCCAAACTCGTCGATGTGGTGAGACCATACATCCCCATTAGGTTCATGTAGCCGCCATCCACGTTCTCGTTCAAGCATAAACGTCAAGCCTTGCTTTTGGTGACTTGTTTCAGCTGGTTTGAGCATTGCTCCATTTAACGGCTGAGACGTATTTGTTCTCACCTTTGCAGTTCTGTCTGAAGGTAGTATGAACCGCTCGTCTCATATCGCACAGTTGTTGAAATGACGCTCTTCAGCACGTCTATGGCCAACAGTGTCTCTTCCATGCCAGCTAAGACTTCGTCCTCGTCTGGACGGACAGTTCGAAAGTCGGTCGTTCTACTTCCCTCCATATTTGTGAAGCGTTGCGGATTGAAGTATTCGACGTCTGTTAAGGAGAAAGCTGGGTCCTGTAGGTAAAGCTCGGCTTCTTTCAGCATACTCCCGACTACCTGGGCTATTTCCCGTGACCCGTATAACGTTATCCAAAGCTGTATGGTATCATCGTTGACAACCTCTTGCCCAGGTGGTAGCCCGAGAATATCGATGCTGATGCCTTCGCGGTGAAACAACTCGAGCAACTCACGACCGCGTGGGTCCAAAGCTGCGCGCAAATCTGGGTGTGTTGAAGACACCAGTTGCCATTCATTGTCTAAAATCAGATGAACCTTCATTACTTGGGTCCGCTCAATGTCGGTCATCCATTGTGCGCTCAATGACGTGAGCTTTCTTGATTAGTCTTGGAGAATCTAGGCTTTGAACGAGCTTTAACAGACATACCATTCCAAAACAGATGATTTGGTCCTCAAAATTGGGCATCTGAGGACCCTCGAATTCGCAGGCAAGCCGTTCAGAGATGACCTGCGGATATGCTTCAACAGAAAAATCATTGAACAACACTGATGGCTTCTTCCTGATCCTTTGATTCTCGTCTCCTGGGGCAAAACATTGGTATGCAACGGAAACTGACCCGAATGCTAATGAGCTTCCGTCTACCCGCCGCCGCTTTATGCCATGACGAGGATCCGACGCCATCGAGGAGGTTCGGGGAACGAATTGTGCGACGCGACTCTCTCCCAGAACTTTCCAGTAATAGTAACCGGATGCCGTGTGCCTCGAAGCATTAGACTGGCAACTGATAGGCAGCATCAAGGTGGATGGCTCTTATGGGTAAACATAACCACTGGTCATTGAACATCGCAGGCAGGCTCCGCCTTACCGCTTCGCATAAACCAGGGGCACGTCAGCCTCGTGTAATGACACGCTGGGCAGTGCATATAGCACCGCTCCACATTGGAGTGGTTGGTGTCGATCCATTGGCACCTACCTATCTATGCCAATATTGGTGGCTGTATTGCGCCACTCCAACTCAGGAAACCCGTGGCTATGCAAGGCATTCGCAATCACAGTCTCAGGTATCCTCCAGCAACATATTAAGTACCCGAGCGTGCCCAATTTCTAGCACAACAGCATCCCGGAACTCTGGGCGCAAATGGTTTGGATAATCCAACATGGCTCTTCTGCAGCTCCAAAGAGCGTGTGAGCGCTTCCGATCACACTTGTATCCTCCAGCAACATATTAAGTACCCGAGCGTGCCCAATTTCTAGCACAACAGCATCCCGGAACTCTGGGCGCAAATGGTTTGGATAATCCAACATGGCTCTTCTGCAGCTCCAAAGAGCGTGTGAGCGCTTCCGATCACACTTGTCGGACGAAGAGACGCGGCGAGTGGAAAACGTTAAGAGTGTGGAAGATGTTCGCGAGGCTATCAGTCAAATCGAGCACTATCTTGCCTCCCGTCAAAAGTTACGAAACTTCGAACGGCTCGTACCTTTCCTCGACGCAGCTGATCGTTTGACGAAGCCAATCGATGTCCTCTCTAATGGCGTTCCGTTCCTGCCTTACATATGGGTGAGCTCCTCCACTAAAGAAAAGCTTCCAAGATCGACGATCTGATCATCACTATCACCCATCTAGGCACCCCTTAAGCTCATTCTTCAAGTGAGTTGACTCGCATCTACCGCTTGATTAAGGTATTGTAATGCTAAAAATGCCAATTCGTTTAGATATCCCAGGATCACACTCATGCACTGGATAAGATCCTCGCTGCTTATAGCCGAATCGGGGCCTCGCTTCCGCGTTTCTCTCGATACGGCAATGCGTTCCCAGACAGCCACGACTTCCAGCAACTACTGGGACACATATACGAGGACATCATTGACTTCCACTGCCATGCTTACCGGCTGGTACAAAAGCCGGGTAAGTTGTCCTCAAGAAAAGAGCCACATTTGCAATTTAATGCTGATAGGTTTCTAGGGTGGGTAATGCTCTTCTCAACCTGTTGGGGTCGATTTCAGCATCGGTTTGATTCATTGATTGAGAGCATCGACACAACCAGCCAACTCATAGACAGGGAGGCAGCTTCTTATGAAATAGTACAAGCTAGAGAATGGCGGCAAAAAGCCCTGGAGAAGGCGCAAGATCAAGAAAAGAAAGAAGAGCTCTACCAGCGCGAAGCTGTCAACAAGTGGCTTCAAGTGAGCGACAGAAACGAGGAAAAGCTTGAGCGCCTTCACAACCGTTGTCTCGATGGAACATCTCAATGGGTGACTGGATCACCCCAGGTCCGATCTTGGCTCCAAAAAGGCAGAGGAAAGCCGGTTTTGTGGCTTCATGGAAAGCCTGGTTCTGGTAAGCTGCGTCCGGCTTAATTCAGATATACCGACTGATCTTCAAAGGCAAATCCATCCTGTGTTCGCAACTCATCTACTTCCTCAGATCAAACCCCACATGGAAGTGCTTATTCTTCTTCTGTGATTATCATAGCACAGGTTATGGGGTAACCGTACAGGTCTTACGGAGCATATGTGCCCAGATTCTGGACCTTGTTCCGGAGACGGCATCGTTCATGTACAAAGAGTGTGTCGTTTCTGGGAAAACACCTTCAACATCATTTCTGAAAGAACTTATTCCCAAACTTTTCAGCTTCTTCGACGACTTGCGCCTGATCATCGATGGAATTGATGAGATTGTGTCATCGGAGCACGGAGAATTAATCAAAACCCTGACAAAGCTGGCAGAGACGCAGGAAAACTTCAGATTGCTCATATCTAGCCAAGATATCCCGAGTATAGCGAGGAACTTGAAGGGCAGGCCAACATTGATAGTTGGGAAACAGTCTGCGTCTGTTTGTAAGGATATTGGCTTGATTGTCTCAAACCGCCTGGAGACCATCCGTGAGGGGCTAGATGGTCACGTTCCACAATCGGTGTTCACTGAAATTCGAGAAACAATCCTCAAAAGAGCAGAAGGCATGAGTATATCCCCTAAGCGCGAAAAGAAGATGGGAAAAACTGACGGCAGCGCAGGAATGTTTCTATGGGTCCATCTAGTATTACAGGTGTTGGAGACGACGGACAGTATCCAAGAGCTGAGATCGAGTGTCGAGGCCTTCCCAAAAGACCTTGAAGAAGCGTAATTTCTATAACCTCTCCGATTCTTCGTATCATGGCTGATTCTACCCAGATATTACAAGACTCTCACCAGCATCATAAGTCGCTGTCAGGCAACAGATGTGTCGAAGTTACGACGAATATTTGGCTGGATGGTGTTTTCGAAGGGCGGCCAGCCTATGAGGAGATTTGAATTACGACTGGGTCGAATCCTCCACGCCGATTCGACCATAATCAATGAGAAAACGAAACCGTTTTCGAACGTATTAGATCTTTGCAAACCGTTCATAGAGGATGGTCCAGGTGCAACCATGGTGTTCATCCACGCCACAGTACCCAAGTAAGTGTCCCAAGTAACCTACTTCCACGCCCTCAGATTGGTTGACGTCTCATGCGAGGTTTCTCCAAGCCCAATCCAGTGGACCGTTCATCAACAAGGAAGATTCTTGCCGAGATATCACAACTGCCTGTATTGCGCAGTTGACACAGAGCTTGGCTCTGGCCGACGAAACGATGGAACGCCTGCAGCATCTTTACTGTGTTGCACAGGGTTTCTACGGACTTCTTCCTTACGCTCATGAACACTGGATTGAGCACCTACTGGAGTATCTCGAGCTCAGTCAAGGGTTTTGCACACCCGATTCTTCGAGAATACAAGGACAACTCATGGCGCTTGCTAGAAGTTGGATCGGCCTGGTGGGAGAAGAGGCCACGCGAATATCCAATGCGGAAAGCCTTGATCCCCGTTTACATTGGCTCGAGAGCCTCCCCTCAGCAAGAGCACTAGTCCAGGGAACCCTTGTACTTCGAAAAGCAACGAAGGAGTCTGTTGGTACGTTTACAAATAGCTGTCCACTCGTCTGTGACACAACGCAGATTTGCTGACTCTTGACTGTTGTTGCGCAGAGACTGTGCCCTCTCCAAGAGATGCCACATTACTCTCATCTGTCAGAACAAGGTACCACACGTATGTTGTGGACCTCTTGACAGGGACAAATTGTCCAGGGCTTTTGGCTAAGAATTTAATTGCTTTCAAAGAAGAATACGGCCCGACCGCATTTGTGTGTTCCATCTATGGATGCGATAAAGCTGTGGTTGGATACTCCTCAGCATTACAGCTGAAGGATCACTCAGCGAGACATCAAGAGAAACTACGATGCTTCTCACAAGACTGCTTCTACAACGATGTTGGGTTTACCTCTCTAAGACAATTCAATGACCACCAGAGAAGATGCCATCCCTCACCCCCACTACCATCGATTCCTCGGCAGATTCCCCAGAGACCGGGCCAGGGGAGTCAAGCGCCTGCGACGTCGTTAGCAAATGCCAAGCAGGATCGCCAAGAATTACAGTATGGTGCAAGCAATCAAGCTCCTATACTAGCCACAGTTTCCCAGCAGAGTCCTCCAGAAACATCGGACTACAAAAGCTCAGAAGCGTTCGCGCCTTCCCCGGCGTATGCACCAACACACGTTGGAGCCCAGCAGGCGCCCCAGGCGACGCAACTGACAACGGAGGAAAGGTTTCTGTCTAAGCCGCAGTTGGGATTTCAGATCAGCCGACAGGTGCAGCGCGCTATGCGGCAACACTCAAACTGGCAACAGCGACAGGGGCGGCGACAGCGACCGGGACAGCAACAGCGACAGCAACGGCGACGGCAACAGCAACTGCAACAGCAACTGCAACTGCAACAGCAACAGCAACTGCAAAAGGGATACTTGGACTTGCAACTGCAACAACAACAGCAGCAGCAACTGCAAAAAGAATACTTGGACCTGCAACTGCGAAAAGAATTCTTGGACTTGCAGCTGCAACGACAACAGCAACCGCCGCAATTGCAGCAGAATGGCATGCCGGCGGACATGGTGATGCCCGACCAACTAGGCATGCCTCGCAATATGCCTTCTAATCAGGATCCTCATTTTCAAGTCACGCTAAGCGACGACATTTTCGCTAACACAAGATCTCGCTTTGTGAACCTCGCATACGACAATTCGAGGCAGAGTGCTGCTCCGATGAGTCAAGACAGTATAATTGAAGATATTAGGGACCAAAAGTGGACGGAGCGAGGTATAGAGCAGGATAACATGGGGCGAGCATCAGCTCCCCCTATGCCCACGCCACAAGCACAACATATGCCTCAGCGACCTCTTCCGTCAATAAACATCGACTTGACACCTCCGCCTGTCTAACCTTTAGATCTACCCTTGCTGAAGGAGCTGAAAGGGCATGGTATCGGTAATTGAGGGAAACGAGGTCGTTTGGGTGGAGTAGGTGCTAAACGGAGGCGGCGTTTGGGACGAGGTGTAGGTAGATGAGTGCGTCGAGACAAGTGAAAAAGAACGGCTGCAATAAGCAAAGAGGCACCAGAGGGGACTATTCTTCTTACCACAAACACTTTCTTGACATAAATAAAAAAGCCGCGAGGGCCTTGAGATCCGAAGAGCATGGATGTTTTAGAACCTTTGTAGATCATTTCGCAGTCCAGAGACCTAAATCTCGAGGTTCTGGCCTTTTCCTGTGTTGTAGTTATACTGGAGTCCCCGGATCATGTACAGACCCTTACTAAAAGATGGACAATCTCAATATAAACCTCGTCCTGCACATCACCCCTCCTCTCCATTCCACGAGTATTCCACTCCCTTGAATAAGCTTCCACGGCCAACTACAAGCTGACAGTGGGTGTACCATTTGCTGTTCTTGCCGGTATGGCGGGAAGGCTACGACTTATGAGGTCCCGCGCAAGATCCCACCAATGGGCTGCATGCCTTTCCAGCTCGAGGCTAATCTTGATTGATGTCCCTTAACCAAGGCCACACACCATCCTATAGAAGGAAGGGTGTTAACGTATTCGGGCCGTTCAGGATTAAATACTAGTACTCCGTCGCGAAGGAGCACGCGGACGGCGGTATTCGATGAGTTCTCGACTATGAAATTGGGATGCTCCGCTGCAGTACGTTGCTATTTGCGAGCTCGGGTCTCATGAGAATGAGTATTTGAAGAGTATTTGAATCAGCATGATGTGGCCTATGCCTGATGTGCTGTACTGGGGCGAAGATGCGTAATCGATATGAATCAAACAGTTCCTGACGGCATGAGAATGGTGAGAGGACTGAAAGGTATGGTCACTCCGCCTCTGGCTTTCATAGGCATCGTTGAAGGCATCTCGCAGGTCGGAACAATCTTGCTATGGTACTCTCTCCAAAATCATCGCCTTCCTGATATCTGATGTCACACACTAAGAGAACTAAACAGTCAGCTGGCTGACATAGCCAAGGCAACTTCTAGGTGATACCACGACTCGAAACATTGCCTTCCAATCTATCCTTTGTACTCACACGAAACGGAAACCCGTCTAAGCGCAAGCTAACACGAAGCCTATACGGCATCCCAACATCAGGAAGACACTCAGCCTGTCTTCTCTCTCTTCTCTCAATCTCATCTCACCTCACTCTAGCCAAAGTCACATCAGATACAAAAATACACACAGAATATCGACTATCACACCATATCTATCTCATACAACACCGCTTCTTCTACCTTAATGTCGACAAGTATCATAACCAATACCAAGTAAAAAAGAAAAGAGCACCGATCCAAATGCAACACACCAACCAAACCATGCAAACGCAAACAAACTACAGCTTACAAAGAAAAAAGCGAGCATCTCATGAGATGCTCCATCAGTCAACGCTTTTCCTCTCCCACTTTGCTTCACAAACCCCTCCTCCCCCTTAGATGAGCTCTTGTCGGATAGGCTCGCCAGTGGCATTACCGCCGTTGAGCACCTCCTTGGCTGCCTCCATCCTCTCGATAGCGGAGCGGTGCTAGATAACCAACATTTAGTATCTTCACTCACGAGTCACGTTGATTAAAGTTCAAACGGAAGGGTCAGACTTACGGCAAGCACAAAGTTGATCACCAGCGCAGCCATCAACGCGATGCTGATAATCAGCGGCCCAACAAGGTTATCGAAATCCTTGCCGCTGCGACCGATAATCATCTTCCTCCGCAGCCTCATCATGCCGTAGCCCCAGACGCCCGCAAACACGGCGATGCAGATGTACACGATACCCATGACCTCGGCCAGGAAATTCTCCCCTGCGGCCGTGTACAGCGAGACCGCGAGCGCGCCGAGCAGGATGCAGATGTGCTGCCACTTGAGGAACGTGCGCTCGTTGGCCAGCCACACCTTGGGCTCGATCTTGAGCTCGCCCGAGTTCTTGATCCACTCGGTCGGCTCCACGACGCCCTCGGGCAGCTGCTGCTGGTTCTTTTGCGCCCTCCGCGCCTGCGAGTACTTGGACAGAGAGAAGCCCGGGAGCACGGACGAGAGCGTGCCGTAGCTCCTCTGCTGGCCGTTGGAGCCCTCGCCGTTCTGGCGGCTCGACGACTGCTGGGACTCGTCGTTGACCGGTCTCGACTGGGAGCGCGAGCTCTCGGCGGCCATTCTGTTGGCGAGGTACGACTGGCCGGCCGGCGAACTCTTGGATATCTTATACGAGCTCACCTTATTGCCCAAAAAGCTGCCGACAGCCTGCTCGTCCTCGGCTCTCTGCGCCTTGCGCTGCTCCTCGGCCTCGAAAGCCACCTGCGGGTCCTTGCGGATGTCCGCCTCCAGATCGCTCAGCCAGAAGGGCAGGTTGTTGACAAAGTCCTCGAACAAGGAGGCGATACCGTGGACAAACTTTGAAAAGCGAGGCGTGGGGTGCACCAGGTGAGATGCCATCAGATCCGTGATCCACGCAGGACGCTTACGGTTAGGGTCCTCTTTCAACTTGATCTCCAGAATGGCATAGGGGAAACGGGAGACCTCGCTCTGGTTGATATCCTTGAACGGGTATGTCAGGTTTCGACCGTCAATATCAAGACGGTGCCATTCTGCCGGGTCGCGGCACGGCCTGTCTCTATCCAGCGTGTCCTCGCGGATGAAGGCTACCTCTGTGTCGATGGAGATGCGCACGCGGTCGTCCGCGGGCTTCTGGAAAGCGGTGCGAACATAGTTTGCGCGCAAGACGGGCTGCAACTTGTTCTCCTGCATGAAGCCCTGAAGGGACTCAACGGTGCTCTTGAAGTTCTCAACCACCTCCGCCTGCTGGCCCTGACGCTCCATCTTCTCCACCGTCTTCTCCATCTTGTAGGTGCCGTCGATGAAGGGCTTGATATACTTGTCCTTGATGGGGAACTTTCGCTCCTCGCTGGATCCTTGTTCTCCAACAATCTTCTGTTCGAGGAACAACTCAGGCTTCGCACTCAATTGGCCGTACCAACGCACGCGGAGCGAGGACGCCTCCGCCTTGCGCTCCACCTTCTTTCCGTACAAATCGAACTTTGAGTTATCAAAGTAAAGCGACGTGATGGTCGGGTCATTGCTTCCATCCAGCTCCTTAGCTGACTGTTCGCTGTAGACAAGGGCCGGAAGACGTCTCATAATATACGTCTTGACCTCCAGCAGGTTATCCGGGTGGACCCAGAACTTGTGGGCGGTATACCGCTCGCCGTGCCGCGTCTCTCCCTGGCTCTCAAGATCCAGTGGCTGCGCATCGCCGGCGCCGTCGTCCAACTGCTGCCGAATGGCATAGTACATGATGGACAGCTTGTTGAGCAAGGGCGAGTACCCTTGCTCCGAGTTGAAGGGCCGTTTCGCCAGGCTCAGCTGCATCATCGGGCGAACCTTGTATCTATCGCCCCTCTTGCGGTCATGCTTCTTGACGATCTTGAGGAAACCAGTGTAGTTGATGTTGCTGTACTTCTTCAGCTCCGAGATTTCGGTCGTGATCTTGTCGAGCTCCGTCTCAATGTCCTTCAGCTTCTGCGCCGTCGCAGCGTCGGGCTTCTTGATCTGGTCGTTCTCCGCGCCCTCATCCTCCTCACTGGTCGGCGGTGCCAATTCCTTGAGCTTCTCAAACGCGGCTTCGACTCGGTCTTTCAGAGCCTTGAAGGTCTGCTCCTGAAACGCGGCGACTTTCTCGAGTTGACCGTTGAAGATCTCGTCGCAGAAGCGGTTCTCGTCGTCCTCCGTCCACGCAACGTCTTCGTCATCGTACTTGTCTTCCCGCAGAAGCGACTTGAGCTTCGCGTAGTCGATGTACTTGTCCTTCCATGGCGCGTACACGGCCAACCGCAGTGTCTTCCCGAAGCGCATCGCGACGGTTGGCGGTAGATAGGGATCGAGGTTGGGATAGACGGGAGTGTCGCTTCAGTCGCTTCGATACGGGATATTGGGAGTCGAGAATGCTTTGGGTCCCCAAGGATAGCAGAGGTGTGAGCTGGGAAGTATGGCCGTGGAAAATCTCGATCGAGTTGGTCGAAGGGGTAGGTCGTGACTAGAAAAAAAACAAGCTTCGGGTTCGGGTGTAACGAGGCAACGCTGGTTGATGTGGCTGGCGCGCGACAGGGGATATCGAACGAAACCCCTCGTCTTTTGCTTCCTTGCTTCGGTCTTGATTCTTCCTGCTCTTCCCGTCAAGCGAATTCCTGTCGTCTAGTTCAAGCGCAGAAGTGGGTAAAATCACCAGTCTAACCAGAGATAAAGAGGTAAGGTCGTGAGTGACAGTTGAAGACGATGGGGTTTGGCACCTGCAAGAAGGCGAAGCTTGGCCTGTGTTGCTCGCGCGGCCCCACCACTCTCCCGTCCCAGCACCGCAAAGTTCCACAGTCCCGTTACGTAGCGCCGTAGCCATTGTCCTATCAACAGCTGCACTCAGAGGCACGTGTGTTCGCTACAGATGCAGCTTTGCAGCTACGAAAACCCTCCGGCGGGGCGCCATTGATTGATGCCGAAGGTATGCGAGTTATTACCTCGCATATGGCCGCATCGGCAGGAATACTCTGATTTAAATCACTTCATGACATAGGGTATTGCAGAATGCGAAATCGTCGTATAAACTATTTTGTTCTTACTCATGAAAGAATGGCTATTATCATTATCCCTTCAACTCCTGTTACAGCCCTTCCAGTGAAAATTCAAGTTCCGTTACTGTAGGCCGTAAATGCCCCGTCATCCAATTCCCGAGGTCGTCTAATCGTCTCACACCACAAAACCCATTCCCAAAACATTTCAGTTGTTGAGCCACTGGTCGAGAGCAGCATCAACCTGCTTCCGGTACTCCTGCTGCGTCTTGCATTGATCCAGGAACACCTTGTACTTGGCATCAAATAAGAACTTCTCGCCCTTGAGGGTGCCTGGCTTGACGAGACGGCCAGGCTTGCTCATACGGTCCATGATGGACCACAGGTTCTCTGTTGTGCCATCCTCGGTCGCGGTCGCAGCTTTGGCGCCCAGCATGGCAGCACCGTGAACAACGGCCGCGTTGGTGTACTTGGGTACCAAGACAGGCATGTCGCAGATGGTAGCCATCAAGTCCATCAACAGTGGGTTCTGGCACTGACTGCCGGACATGAAGATCGTGTTAAGCTCGTGTCCGGACGTGTTCATCGCCTCAACAATCTGTCGAGTCTGCATGGCGATGAACTCCATCGTGCCGTAGTACCACAACGCTAGGTTGTCCGTGGTCTTGTCGCTGCTCAAGCCAACCACGGCACCCTTCATGTTCGGATCTGCGACGGGTGATCTGTTACCCCACAGGTCACCGTACAGGAAGAAGTGACGGCCCAGGTATGAGATTGACGGGGCACCGCTCTTCTCACGCATGTATTCCAAGTGGGAGTTCAGGAACTCGTAAATATTCTTCGACTCGGCCGTGGCAAGCGCGTTGGTTTCGATAAAGGCAGGGTGGATTTCGAGAATGTGTCGAAGGAGCTCGCCGGTAGCAGACTGGCCACCTTCGGCCATCCAGAACTCAGGGAGCAAGACGTCTCGGTATGGGCCCCAGACACCAGGCACGAACACTGCCTCTCTGGACATGGCCAAGTGGCACGTTGATGTACCGGCAACCGCCGCGAGTCTGTGGAAGGCTTGTGAGAGGTCGTTCTTAGGCTGGTCCGCCTCAAGATGGCCTGGAGGAAGTTCGACCTTGGCGCCGACGGTACCAATCCAGCCGGCGTAGGCGTCAATAACGCCGCCACCGACAGCGATACCCTCGGGAAGGCCGAGCTCTGCCGCGGCCTTCTTGCAGAGACCACCCACGAGCTCTCCAGCGCTCTGGTATTTTCCGTTCTGTGGAAAATCAAGTCAGTCAATTGTACTTTAACCTCGACACTGAAGCAACAGAGGAGCAGGATTCAAATGAAAAAGGCTCACCACCCCGTTGACACCACCCATACGCTTGAAGTCGTCCTCAACAAGGTCTTCGAGTCCAATCGTCGTCAGGAAGTCATCCTGCCAGCCCTTTACACTGCCGTCAACACCGACAGGTACGTAGCCCTGCTTGCAGACGGTGCTGCAGAAACTCCGCGTCTCGTTGCCAGTGGCCATGTGCGTGAGCGCATCAGCAAGATCGTAGAACTTGCAACGATCAAAGAGCTCCTTGGGCATGTTGTTCTTGAGCCACAGAACCTTGGGAATTTCCATCTCGATGCTCATGGTGCCGCCAACGTACTTGAGCAGGTTGTGCTTGGTGGCGTTGATCTTCTCCGTCTCCTCGACGGGGCGGTGGTCCAGCCAAAGAATGACATTGCGGTCGTTACCATCGGCATTGTCAAAATCGGGGCCGGTGACGGCGACTGGCTCGTCGGTATCGTGGCTGAAGACGGCGAGGGAGCAGGTTGCGTCGAAACCGATGCCCTTGATAATATCAGGGTCGACCTTGGACTCGACGAGGACTTGCTTCACGCAGTGGCAGATGCACGCCCAAATATCGGAAGTGGATTGTTCCTTCCGGAAAGGTCAGCTGAGCTCAACTCCTCGTGGGGAACAATCGCCAAAGTGACGAAGAGAAGGCGAGTCTCTGAGGTGACTTACATAGTATCCGGTCTCGGGCTGCCACAGCTTGATGGGTTCACTGGCAAGGCCCTTGATGTCACCAGTTTCGTCAATGATGCATGCTCTGGCCGAACCAGTGCCAACATCGATGCCGATGTAGTGATCCTGGTAAAACACTTCGAGTCAATGGTCTGGTCTCTGAAAATCAAGGAACAGAGCTCTATTCCAATCAAACTTACCAGAGGCTGGGGAGGTGCGGTGGATTGGACCCTAGAGGTGGACTGTTAGCTCTTGGATACATTGTGATGCTTTGGGCCAGCTCGATTGCTCTATCACAGGCAGGTAGGCAACTGGCTGGGACAGTGGCTTGAACTTACTCCATTGTGCAGACCGAGGGTGATTACTCGAATAGTAAGGTTCTGTTCACACGCAGGGGAAGATCCTGTGATTTCTTTGGCAGTCTGGAGTACCTAGGGAGTAGGGAGGAAAGGCAGACAAGGTGTGAAAGTGTAGAGCTTCTTGAGCAAAGGCGGTTTTGTTGATCAACAAAAAAGGTGACGGGAGCTGTTCCTTAAAAGAGCACCACAACACGACCAGGAGGGGGGAAAGGTCTGATTCACTGGAAAAGGTCAGGTTCAGTCCAGACCTCCATCATCGGCACACACCCTTATTTTTTCGTCCCTTCTTCCTGTGACGAAAGGGAGGGGACGGGAGCTTGGTGCTTGCCTGCTTTACCTTACCTTACTACTGCGTAGATGGCGGTTCTTCCACCGTAAGGTACGGTAGCTGGTGTTGCGCCTACTGCGTAGGACCTGGACCCCTTTTGCCCCTCCAAGTGGGGTAAAGATGAGGTGAGAGCAGCGAGGTACGTACAAGAGCTACCCTGCCTTGCAGGTACTTACTGCCAGATGGGCTGTACATGATGCAAGACAGGGCCAACCAGCCCCTCGGATGGCAAAAAAATGTCACAGCAAAAGGAACGAAGCCATAAGCATGTCCGGTTGGGATCCGCGTGCCACCGTGGTGTACTGTGTAAGAGCTGCAGTTCCAAGCGCTAGGTATTCCCCCCCCCCGGGGAGGTTCCAAGCTGGGACTACCCTCGGGACGGGGGCAACACCGAGGGCATGGAGGGGTGGAGGGGCAAAAAATCCACTGTCAACCGACATCCGCACCACCCCCCAGTGGCCCCCCGCGCCCATCAAGAATTAGAATCTTGGGGGTTGCATGGGGGCGGCAAGGGTGACCTTTTGGGATATGGTACACTATCCGTAAGGTAATAGTGTGGACTCGACGAAAAAAAAGATGGCCAAGCCCACCTGACAATCTCGTTCCATATTGGGAACCTCAAGCAGCAGTCCAGAGCTGGCGGGGAAAAGCAGAGTGGCAGATTGGCAGCACACATGCAACCATGTAGGAAGGTGATGGGATGCTCGGGGAAGCTGTTGGAAAAGCCGGGGAGGTCCCTGGGAAAGGAGACGGCCCAAAGGGTTCCAGAAGCCCAACCACTCGATTCCAGACTCCCAGAGCCACAGGGTCTGCAAGCCTCGTGTTTTCCAAAGTCTCCGGACTGGGCAGCTTGGAAACCTCAACACCAGCTTTGTTGATCTTCTACCGTCTGTCGTCTACCGTTCTGGTCCTGACACTTCTCCCACCTTTTGTGTGACACAAAGAGCCCAGATTAGACATGACTAACTTTGCTGCGAGACTGACTGAGCGGCCCGCATTAAACCACCTCACACCAAATCCCGTCATGACAAAAAGTAGGTGTTCACTGCAAAATTCCAGGAAAAGAGACAGAGCTATCTCAATTTTGATCAACTACATATGATTTCGAGATCCAGAAAATATCATTGATGAGGCTCCCCTCCAGCTGTATTAGTAGTCGCCTAGAACTAGGTAACATCCCACTGTCTCCTGTCAAACTCTATGGTGGTTGGGACTAGTACCGCTAACTTCGCCGGCGAATCTATGCTCAACCTAACGAGTCTATATAAACGGTACGATGGAGTCGTCTTAAAGATGATGACGAACCACGGGAAAAGAGGAGAAACACCTTTGTCTCAGCCACTGTGCCACCCTCCCCCGAACCAAAAAGACACGAGGCCCGGCAAGCCCCCGGGTCACCGGCCAACTCCCAACTCGTTTCCCCCCGCTCCCCTGGGGCCTTGTGGCAATCAACAGGAATCCTTCCCCCGGCCGTGCCTTCCTCAACGCCATCTCTACCGTAAGGCTACCGTTTCCCGCCCGCGCCCGCTTCGCCCGCCGCTTCATCCTTTCGCGGTGCCGAAACCAAAAGAAAACCCAACGCCATCAGTGATCAAACCACCCTTCACACCGACCCCTCCTCCCTTCCTTTTTTTTCCTTCTCCATCTTTCCCGCCTTCATGCGACCCAATCACTGCCCAACCCGCCTCAGAGTTTGTGTACTTTCTTCCTCACCATGGATTTCCCAAACGTAGCCCGAATCAGCTCTAGCCCGCCACATTCACCAAAATGCTCTTGAACCAAATTCCTCCCAAAAACTTGTAAGCGATTGTCGAATCAAACACAGGCTGGACAGGGATGCGACAGATAGGCCATCCTCTAGCGCAGAGTCAAGACTGTGGACTGTGGGGAGTGTGGAAACGAACGCATCTGCTGTTCTCCCCCGGGACATGGATCACAAGAGCTACTGTGGAGTAAACTCACACAAGGGGAATCAGAAGCGGAACACCTTTTCCATGCACCACAATCTCAAGATTTGTTTAGGGTAACATTCCTCTATTCCGCTTGCTCCCTAATCATACCTGTCAGGGCTGCATAATGGCCACCGCCGTTCTGGGTATTTCGTTTATTAATAAACTCCATAACTCGGGAGCACGGTAGCATAAGGGCAAAGAAAAAATCTCTGCATACCATGTGAACAGTCGACCAGGTCGCCCCTGATGCTTCGCTGTCACCTGTACGGTGTTGCGGTGTGTTCGGCTTTCGTCTTGTCTGACTTTCTTCCCCTGTTCTGGGCTGATGACCACGCCGTCTTTGCTGATGCGGCCTAGCCTTGCCAAGCAGATGAACCAACTGCGATATCGAAGCTGGTCTGCCGATCTTTTGCCCGGCAACTCCGAACAACGGAGCCTCACCACACTTCTTTCGTGTCCGCTTGTCGTTGTTCCGTCCGTGCCGATCCCCCAACGATCGGCTCTCTTGCTAGACCGGATCCCATTAAATATTGCTTTTTGTCTCCTCCACGGGCGCGTTGGCAAATCTCGTCGCATACACGACTGTGTCGCCTCACCGCCATAGGATAATATGCTCCATAATAGGCTGATGGGCTTGACTTGGCAATGCGTGATGATTCTCGATGAGGCGTCCTGCAGGTGAAGATGCAACAAATGCCGTTGTTAGCTTTTGCAGATATATCCGAGTGCTTTGCATGCTGTTGGCAGGCGTCTTGAAGAGTTTCCGCGTGTCGAATGTTGAACTCTCAGTAGTCAAGCTCCGCCTTGGGCCATTTGACGGTATCTTTGTCTTTGTCTTTCTTCATCTTTCCGCGAAATGGCTTTTGGTCACCCTGAAACCATGGTTAGTCCCTGCCGACATTGCGAAAAGAGCCGCATCCCGGCTTACCTCTGCTTTGCGCTTCTTGCCGTGCGATGGCTCAGGCGCTCTCTTCGTATAGACTGGTGTGCTCTCGCGTGCTTGTGTCGCTTCCGAATGACAGCTAAAGTGATATGCTCGATTGCCGACCAATGTAGTATCCAGCCACACCCATTCTTGAGCAGTCTCAAGCCACTTGTTCTCAAATTTCTCTTGGCAGATGGGACATTTGCTATTGATCCCGCTGGATGCATCTGGCACGGGAATATATCGAGGCTTGGCCTCCTTCTTCCCTCGGCCAGGACTAGACGAAGACTTGTCCGCAGTCGCAACATGGTCGACATCAATGGCCTCTCGTGACTTGAGCCAGTCCTGCATGATGTTAGATCATTCCAAAGGATTATAAGGGGCTAATGGTAACTCACGTTGTTGTCGACATACCAGCTTCGGTGCTGGCCTCTTTTCTCTGCTTCTGCGAGCCGTTGGTGTGCCTTGAAGTGCCAATCCATATGCGCCATCTTCTTCTTCCTACCCTCATCGTCCGTCTTGAAACGTCTACCACATTGGGTGCATTGAGGACCCAGTTGCTCAAAGAGAGACGGGATTAAGTGAGGCTGGAATCTGGAAAGGGTTAGCAATCGTGCTTCCAGCAAGATTCTTAGATAAACTGACTGTTGTTTCAAGGCCGCCGCATCAAGCTGATTGCCGCTCATACCCCCAAGCGGAGGAATCGGTGGCAGCTGGCCGGAAGCCAGCAAGCTTGCAATGTTAGGGGGCAAGAATCCGGGAGGTATCATAGGCATCCCTGGCGGAGGCACTGGTGCCGGGGCTGCTGGCGTCGGCGTTGCGCTTGGAGCTGCTCCCCGAAGGATTCCAGCTTGCCGTAAGCCGGCCAGCAACGCCATAGGATCTGTTGCCGGCGGCGCACTGGGCTGTCTTTGCGGCTCGGCCCTCTGTGGGGGGGGAGACCGGATCGCCATACTGGCATGAGGAGGGGGCGGCGGCGTTGAAAGCTGCGGCGTGGCTGACTGCCGTGACAACAGAGCAGCAAGAGCTCCTTGGCCCAAGAGGGCATCAAGCGTCACTCCAGCTTGCTGCTGGGGCAGGCCAGATGGTACTACAGGCGCCGCAGGTGGCGGCGGTGGATGATGAGGGACAGTTGTAGCAGTAGGGGTTGAGCTCTGGGCCGAGAACGGCCTCACTTTTACGGCAAGATCGGCTACTTGATTCTTAATGAGGACCAACTGGTCCTGGGGCAAGTTCTGATGTTGAAGCAAGCTCTGCACATCCAACAACGCCTTGAGTCTTTGTTGAATACTATGATCATGGGGGTTCTGTGCAAACTCCAACTTCGACGCATCGATCAACTTCTGGATATCTTGACCCAGAGAGTCTTTGTTTATCCCAGCAGCCTGAGGAGGTCCTGAGAGTCCGGATCCGTATGGCATCTGCGGAGGGGGTTGGTAAGGACCAGGAGCTGCCGAAGGTTGAGCACTGTATGATGGCGGAGGGGGCTGTGACGTCTGTTAGTGTATGATATCAAATGCTAAATGGTAGGATGGACGTACTGCGTAAGGAGCCATCTGCGGGTGGTGTGGGAGCGGCGCACTCGGAGGTCGGTTGCCATTTGCTTGCGGCATTGGTGGAGGTTGACCGTATGGCATCGGCTGGTTCGAGCCAGGTCGCATACCCGGCGGTGTTGGTGTTTCGCGATACGGTGCAGCAGCAGGTCGGCCGCGACCTGCTGGTCGTCCTTGCTGAGCTTGAAGCGCGGATGTGCGAGCCTTGATGAGGGCGCTCTCAATAGGCGCCGTCACTTCTGACGCAAAAACTGGACGCTTGTCCAGAGATCCAGGAACAGGCTCCTTCCAGGTGCGAAGCATTTCATCCATCTTGCGGCGAACCTGGCCATCGACAGCCGCGTACGCTTCCATAAATGTCTGGTATAGCTTTGCTCCGAAGAACAAGGTGTACGGAGTGCCGACATTCTTGACGATCGAATCGAGGACGTAGAGGGCTGGGAGCTTCTTGTGCGCTGGCGCCTGTCAAACATGTCAGCATGGATCGTTACTTTGGGGAAAGGGAGCTTCGTGACTTCCCAAGCGGCGCTTGAGAAGGACTTGGCAGACAACGCGGGCCGTTGCCCGAAAGCTGAAGGATAGAGCCTACCTTCAAGATATGGTCCTGCAAGACTTCAGAGATGACTTGGGCATGCTCGGTCTGCTCTCTTGCAATCATCGTCAGATTGCTAATTTCGAATCGCACATTGGTAGTCAAGTCTTCAAGAGCTTGACGATAGTCCTCAGCGACTTCTGTGGCGGATGACTCGTACGACATGATTGTGGTTATTACTGGGTAGCGATATCCTTGATGATGATTGTTTGTCTGTCAAGAGCACGCGATGGCGAGCGAGATCTGCAGGAAAGCGAGAACGCAATGGCAGCGGGGAAGATTCAGATCGACCTCGAAGTCAAGCGCCTTCACCCTATGCAATGGAAAGCACAATAAACCACCCTTATTATGGAGAAGCACCAGTCTGCAGCTTGGAAGGAGAGACGACGCAGGTAACCTAAAGTGGAAGGGACCGTTTTGAAGATTCCAATTCTCGCGTCCAGACCCTCTTTCTGCTCAAGTCCTCCACACCAAAAGCCAACCAAATCCAAGCAGAGAGCAAGGACACCGTCACAACATTATCCAGTGGATGGTTTTCGCGTCCGCCTGAAGACTGCGATGGGACCTTCGTAGATATTGACGGTCGCCAAACGTACGGAGAACGTCGCGAGAATGGCGAAGACAAAGAGCAAAATGGGAGTGGAAGTGGCAGTTGGGTAGTCACGATTTGGTCGCAGCGAGAAGAATCAATGAAACGAAAAGCGTTGACGGGTCTCAGGTCAATTCGAATCAAATCCTTGCCGTGGGCGATGTCGGTCGCGAATCGTCGTTGTGTTTGATGGAAGGATGGTCAATCAGCAGCAAGTCTGGCGGAGAGGAATTTGACGTCGGGTCGTGAGGCTAATGGAGGTAGGAAGTGACAGTGAAAGGCAATAACGGACCCACTTGAGCTCACGTGCCTTGGGCTACCACTAAGCAGTGGAATGATAGGAACCTGGAAGGTGCGAGTCACACAGGTTCGCTGACCTCATCCAGTGTTTTTCTTATCTTATCTCATCTCGGCTCACCCGCCAGTCCCGGCTGTCAGTAGATACTTACCTTACCTACCACAAAGTACGAAAGGCAAGGTACCTTATGTCGTTGTGTTAATGCTTTCTATCGACCTGGAAGACGTGAATCGCCTACCATAACAACATTGACCAATTATCAAGATTTCGGAAAGAAAATTAGACATGAAGATAGAATGATCTCGGCATATCGACGAGGTCCTGTACAGTTATCTATTTTCCCTACACAAATATGGGGTATCTACTCTTGACACTTGCTGTTAAGATACAAACACGCAACTCGAGGGAAATAGTCCCTCTCAAGGTGTTTTAACAACCGATGAGTCTACCCGAGCCTAATATCACAGCATAGGATGTTAAGTGAGTGAACGGCTCCAAGATTCCGTTTGTACTTCTCTTCACACACCGGGAACCCTGCCCTGAACTGTGTAGTAACCCTTGCGGTGGAACTGGAAGCAACGAAACTTGAGATGCTGACTTGACAGACAGAAGGGCAGAAGATATGGATCGGGATCTGCTTTTACAAGTCGACAACTCGCAAAGAGTTTAGGTCTAGGGCTTTCTTCAATTAAGCTGATCATCAAGGCAAATTACGTCCTTCACTGGGTTGGACTCTAGAGGAAAGTAGGCAAGGTCAAGCATGAAAAATCTGGCGTAAGGAATATGAAGTACCAGATGAAGTGTGAGCACTGTCAGCACTTCCGATTCCTATTCACGAAGCTAAATCCCTGGGAATCGATATTTGACGCCAGCACTGCCACGGTGACCTGGCCGGGGCCACATCGTACAAGACTGGCGGCTGGGGGGTTCTGCTAAATTAGACAGATAGACGCCGCGGGATGCGGCTCAAATGGTTGAACCATGGATTCAGAAGAGCACTGTATTTAGAATAGCTCTAGAATTTGGCGGCAATTTCTTCTTTTTTGGCGCGCGTAAACATCGTCGTCCTCGTAAGATGCTCTCAAAATTGGTCTAGAGGGTGGAGACCACGCTTACGACCTCACTTACAGGCGGCATCACGAAATGAGGTGGTACGCGGACGGGCGCTTAATCCCAGGCCACCCTGTTGACGGGCCACAGCCGTCATAAATAACTTGGAAATCGAATACGGGCCCCGTCCGATGCACCGGAAGCTGTCGGAGGCACGGCCGCCCTGCAATCTGTAGATGCGCGCTTCTTGTCCAGTCTTTTGGTTTCACGATCAGGTTTCATTACCATCTGGCGATACCGCTTGTAAGTGATCATGGCGCGATGGAGAGCTTTCACCCGCCTACCTCAGACGGACGCACGAAGAGTTATGACCGCAGCCAATAGCTGTCTTTGAGGAGGGCCGAGGTCAACTTTCCCAGACAATGTTGATCTGAGGATTTGTTATTCAGCTGGTCTGATATATCTACTTCAGCTTGTACTTGAAAATGGGCATATGCCTCGGGATGTTCTTCAATAACCGGAGAAACATAGGCGAACCACCAAGGCTTGGAGAGCCAAGCCGCAGTTAGTTGCACATTACTCACTCGCGTAGAATCATAAGGTGAATTCACATTGAATATCAGTGATGATACGGAGTAGTCACTGGTAAAATCGGATTTCATGGAGTATAAAAGACTTATGCTCTGTCGGTATGACGGTGGGGACTCCGTACCGGAGGTTTGGGGCTCGCCCGTGCTGCGAAATCGCACTCGGAAGAGCCAGCTACGGGCCTACGGCCTTCAAGTCTTCACTGCCGCAGGGTGGGACGCATGTTCAGGTACCTTGCGTTGCCGCTCACACTGGAATTGGCCCATCAAGCCCAACTCTGCGCAGCGAATCGGTACTTATGGCGCCTGCAGGGGTACGCCCAGCGGACATGTGTGCCTGGCATTTCGGCCGGCGGCTGTCTTTGCTAAACTCGCATGAAACAAAGTCTCGTCGCCCGTCATCCAATCAATCCGGCATCGCGCCCGAGAACTGAGAAGTTGCCATGTCCCTTCCACTCTCGACTGTTCACTTTGTTTGTAACCCTGAGCAAACCTCCCCCGTCTACCATACCATAGACATCCCTACCTCGGATCCCGTCTGGACCTCTCAATGCTTGAATATTCGCCTCCCACTACGCCAACTTTGTACCTCTGCCTCCCTCTCATAGGTTCGTTGCGCCTGAATTGCTTGCCATCGACTTGGACAAGCTGCAGCAGTCCGACTTTCAGCGCACGATTGGATGAAAGCGGCCCACGGCATATTCATGCCCCCCATGTCTGTCATGGCCTCTGCTCTCTAGACCCTCCGTCGTCTCGTCTTTTGCACTTTGCCGAGCTGAGTGTCACGGGTGTATCTTCTTCGACGATCTGGCGAGTGCCACAGGTTATCAGCAGCTCCACGATGAAGATGGTGTCACTCACATGCAGCGAGGCCACCGCTGCCCGACCCATATCGTGACAACGAGAGAATGACTGACAGACAAAGTTGTTAGCTGCTCTGGGCTGCGCGTGCTCGATCAGGGGTTTCATTGAAACCACGTCTGGTCGCCGCATGGCGTCGTCTGGAACCTCAACCGCAGGAAGCACACAGCACCTCGTCCCGCTATCATGCTCTCGAGTCCACCATCTGCGTCTCTCCATGATCCCGTCCTCTATCCCGCATATCTCATTTACCCACACCCCCGTATCCTAGTTCTCATACCGCCCGGGACGTCGAGGGATCGTCCAAGCCGTTCGTGAGAGAACCCATGAACGCTCCATCGTTTCCCCTCCATCCCCCCATGCTGAGTCTCCGCCGACGCATCCCGGCCCTGATGGCCCTCTGGCGCTGCCAGAATGATTGGTTGCTGGTTGCGCGAAACTTTTGGCTGTGATTCGAAACGACAAATGGAGAGGGCCACCGGGCAGGCTCCCTTTGGTCAAACTGGACCTGACTTTGCTCTTGCCTTGTCGCTGGGATGACAAAATCCCAGGTGACGTGCAGGAAGAGAAGGAATAAGGGCACTGCTCTGAGCAAGGTACGGAGTTACCTACCTATCTTTACTTTAGGTGCTTTGCATTACTTTTTCACCCCATGTTTCTTTAAGCTCAGCTCGTGGGACAAGAATTCATAGTCAATCAGGGTCCTGTCTGTATTAAAGGAGAAGGAGCTCCCGTCCCTCCTTCCTTTGACGTCGAACCTACCCACCGGTCCTTTCTGGCAGGAGCTCCCTTCCCTCTTTCCCCCATTGAACAGCCTTGAACAAATTCCGTTCTTGGGTATCTACTAATCCTGTTCGCCTACAATCTTTCCCTCCTCATACTCTCGTCGCCTTGTCTCCTTCTTCCTTTGTGAAGACATCAACACTTTCTCTATAACGCCAACTCTCCTGGACTGGTTTCCGGGAATATTTCCTACTCGTCTCTAATCGTACCCTCGCGCTTGATACTCTACCATCGAATCACTAGTCGCTTGGATTAACTCGTCAGCTTGGACTGACCGAATTTTTGCTACGGACCTCATCGCTACCGAGCTTACCACCAGCCGCTATTCACTCAATACTCTCCTTACTTGTATGGTGCTTCGCCCTTGGTCGATCTCGGACTCGTCACTAATGCTACCCCAGGATCTCGATACTCTTCAGCAGAGCTACCGAGTACTTAAACACATACGACTGCCTCAGAAACCCGAAAACGTCGCAACTGCTGTTCTCCGATTACAATCAAAAAATGTTCAACCTCTCTGAAAACTCCAGCCTTCGTGGCTCGGGTCACTTGATCCTCAACGTCTTCCGAGCGTTCAACATCATCGGCCTCTTGGCCGTCAGCGCCGCCACCTGGACCATGATCGTCATGTCCATTCTTAAGGGCAACTTTGCCTTCTTCGATTCGGCCTCCCGCTTCTTCACTTTCTGCTTCGCCGTGTTCCTCATTGTCTCCGAGCTCAACGTCTTCCGCGCCTACTTCATGCGCAACTGGCCGACCCTCTCGCCCGAGCATGGCCTCAGCTGGCTGGGAATCGCCATGGTCGTCATGGGCTGTCACGTTCTCGGGGGCATCACGGTGCCCGCCTACTCTGTCGAGACTATTGGTCTTCCGCTCTGGCGTCTCATCCTCGCCTCGGGCATTCTGGCAATCACCTTTGGTTTCTTCAACATCATCTCGTCCATTGTTTTCCGGGATGGCAGCAACGGCATCAACGCCCGCAACATTCGCAGCGACGGCACCCTTGCCTCCGGCAAGAACTCGTACGCTGACGGATACTCTGTCAGAAGCAACTCGATTCGCAACGAGAAGCCGAACAACAAGTTCAAGCGCCTCACGCAAAAGTTCACTCCTTGGAGCAAGACCAACGACGATACTAGCCCTCGTCCTAATATCAGCCATCCTATCGCCCACGACGTCGAGCAGGGCCATGATTCAGAGCCTGACTACGACGAATCTCGCCGCAGCCCCATCATGCCCGATGTCTCTCGTCCGGCTACTGCTCTGCACCCTGCCATGGCTGGTCACCGCCATACCAAGTACAGCCTGGCCAGCAACGTGAGCCGCTTCTAAGGAGTGGCGGATGCTGCTCGCACACGACTTTCTTCTATGTCTCGATGAGATTGAAATCAATGGACTTCACAGCAGCCTTGGTATTACAGAATATGCATCCCTATTAGGCAGGGTGGAACGGCGTTTCACGGATGATTTAGTTTGGCTTTGAAAAAATACCCGGCACGACGGCACGGTGTACGGCGAGGAATATGAGATTTAGGAATCTTTCGTCACTGATCATGACCAGCAATCAGTCATCAGGCATTAAACAGAAGTAGATGCACGATTGAGGGATCAGTCATAATTATAAAGCTTCGTTATCAATTCCGTCTTGACCACACGTCGTAATAATGAGAAACACTGAGAATTGAGGTCGTGGGCTTTGAGGGAGGGATTTGGGAGAATCATCACACAACCGTCCCCGCAGTCGTGTCCATTTTGAATCGCCAGTCCCCACACCGTCGAAACCCTGGTCGAAATTTTCAGTACGGGAAATGCAGTAGAAAGGGGCAACAGTTTACTGTGCAAGTTGCACACTGAGTCGTAGTATTCGCCCTGTACAGATTATTGCAGGACTGAAATAATATCAATGGGAGTGGGAGAGACACCCTCTTTGCACAGATATGATTTAAGAACAGAACGAAGTCGCATGTAGCACTAGGATCGAGGGAGGGGACAGCTTTTGTTCAAGTGTATCACATTGAAATCACATAATTCATCATTTTTACGCCGAGCCCTCCAAGTTTTTTAAAGTTAAGAACCTCGAAAAAGTTGTGTTCCATTTTTCGTATCGATTGAGCCTTTTTGACCTCTGGGACTCAAGCCAGAGGAAGAACACTCCAGCGCATGATATCAAGTGCTTTCCCGAGTCGTGAAAGTAGTGGCCATATCCCGAATACCTTCCCTGATGTTGATGATGATCCGCCGCCGTCGTCGTGTCCTCCGCGAACACCACACCTGGCAGCCGAAGCCGTCCTCGTAGTAAGACAGTCGTAGTACGCGAGCGGCCCGGTAGCCTTTTCAGAATCGTCCAGTGCGAGTGGGCGAAACCGTTTACCGGTAGCGCCACAGGGACAGGGTGTTGTGGCGCTTCCAGGTCTTTCTGCGGCCGGCCTGGGTCTTGTTGTAGCGGTGGCCCTTGTTGAGGCCGCGGGACTTCTTGCCGGTGGCGGTGAGACCGCGAGCCTCGCGGTGCTTGTGGACGGGGGCGACGATCCAGTTGATGCGGGGGTCCTGGCGGATGGCCTTGTGCTGGGGGTCGACGAGGATGACCTCGTAGTACTTGTAGGTGGAGTCCTGGTTAACCCAGTACGAGTTGAGGACGCGCAAGTTGGCGCAGCGGCGGCCGACACGCTCCTCGGCGGTGGAGGCGAGGGAGCGCTGGTACTTGAGCTGGTTGACACCCTGGTTGGTGGGCTTGCCTGTGTGATTCCAATCCCGTTAGCAAATCCGTCCATCTCGCTGGTAAGAGTGTCGCACGGCGGGAAACCAGTTCGGTCTTCAAGAGACGTAGACTATTTCCCTCTCGTGAAGAATTCGCAACGTACCGAAGGTAGCACCCTTGGCGACGGGCTTCTTGCGGCCTCCACGGCGGACGCGGGCACGGTAGATAACGTAGCCCTGCTTGGCCTTGTAACCGAGGCGGCGAGCCTTGTCGGGGCGCGAGGGACGCGAGGCGCGGTGGATGACATTCAGCTGTCGGAGCTATATTGATGCACTCTCAGCAAATGTTCAACGAGTGTATAGCAGGAACGCAAAGTTTTTCCCCAAGTCTCCACTAGTCCCTCATGATACCCTCGAACCGAGAAATTTTGGACCTCGAGACCCCTCAGTAGGAAGGAATTCAACATCGAAAATTTTCGGGTTCGTGGGTAACCGAGAGAGAGAAGCGGGATCGAGGAGAATTGAACTTTGTCGTGCGTCCACATGGTATCGGAATCGGGTGGTTTCAACGTACTTCCCAGCAGCGAACACGCAGAAGGAAGCGCATCACATCGGACTGCTTCTTCTTCTGGAGCTCTTCGACATACTTGAGGGCACCCATTTTGACTGCGGCGACGGCGTCAGGTTAGCCTCTTTGAATTTGATAGATGTGGTGATGATTGAGAAAAGAAGAGAGCGACAAAGTTTGTCGAAGAAAAGGAACGGGGGGGGAGGGGGACAAACCAGCTGTTCACGTAAAATCCGGCTGCCGAGGTTTTGGTGGTGGTGTTGATGAATTGGACGACGATTGAGAAATGTTCGAGTGGAAGGGGAAAAATCGAGGAAGGGTAGAGTTTGTGCGGTCGTACTAATCCTGAAACGGCTAGCGTAGCTGGGGCTGGGCTTGCCCCGAACCTAATTATGGGGCTCGCCTCTCGGTGTGTGGCATCTTCTCGGTGAACTGAGCTCGGTGTGCTCAGGCGTAGAGATGGAAGGATTTCTTCCAACAGGCACGGTTAGGGGAACTGTGGGACCAGTATGATTTTTCGCAGCCATGAACGGCCTATCAGTGAGACTTTGACTACCTCATAAGTTGATGATCATTTCGCTTTCGACTTACACGCTCGCCGCCATTTGATGCAGATTTCTATTCTAAAGTCTATCCTCCCTACCATTTCACAAAATCTGAGAAGGGTCTAGACGGAGAATGGCAAACGAGTTTGCTATGTCTCCGTCATACTTGATGGAAAACTCCATTAACAGTGACTTGCCGCGACATGGTGATAAATGACTACTAGACTATCAGGCCGTCCCGTCTACCCTATCTCGCAGTTACATTCTTGCATCCGGCACAGCTTGCCTACCTGTCCAAACCGTTCAGGCTTTCATCTTTTTTCTACACGCACTCTTATTAAATTTCCAAATGTGAGAATACTTCCCAGGACTCTAGGCTCTGAGGCGTACGGTCAAAATTAGCTTCGATGGTCTTGCCTAGGCAGATGCCATAGGAAGTTCCTCCAAGTCATCGATGGAGATGGTCCCTCGAGAGACAGGCACTGAGAGATGGACACATCACAGACACATTAAAATAGAAAGGCATTGAATTTCTAGCCCTCATATTTTCAAATACCTAAAAGTCGACGGAAAAGCAAGAATTTTCGTACAAGAATCCGACATTGGCCCATTACCCAGAAACACAAGTCCCTTTTTTTTTAGTCTCGGGTTACACCATGCTTGTGTGGAAAAAAAGTAAAAAAGAAGTCTCTCTGTCTATGACGGTAGTGCCCTGAGTAGTAGTGAAAGTCTCTCAATCTCCTCTTGAATCTCTCATTCATCATGAATTGGGGGTTGTGCTGGTGGGAAATTAGGCCGTGATTGCAAAGTCTCGAAACAAGCCTGTAGAGTAAAAGTGAAAATGAAAGTGTTTGGGGATCCAGCTTGTCTTCCCATTTTTCGTCCTTTATGTCTTCTTTTTTCTGTCCGAAAGAAGCACAAAGGTCCCGCCAGTTTTTTTTGGCAATTTAAAATCAAAAAAGTTGAAGCCGTCCAACTCCGACAGTGACAAGAGGAAAAGAAAACGTGTTGCCAGACTTTGCAGCCCAGGCTATGCTTACAATGCCACAACCATGCCAATCGTAAAAAGGTACGATGAGCCGCTGGGCCGACAGTTCGTGAGAATGCGCCGAACGACGAACAGAAGTGGGATGCCCGTTGAGAAGGTCCAGTTCGCCGTGGAACATGAGAAACCAATATCGTGGCCATTTCCAACGTCAGGCGCCTGCATCATCAGCGACTGTTCAAGGAAAGGCCCTGAAATGCGGTAGCCCATTCACTCTGAGTGTTCATCGGGCCCACGCCTGACTCATGCGGGCCAGGTCCGTCTGTTCCCGGCTGGAAACGAGATCGCATCTGATAGTCAGCTGCGCCAGGGAAGCTGTAGCTATCGAGCGACGGAACAACTCCAGGGACGTAGGGCATGTTTCCAGGCCTAGGCGCAGTGCCCATGCCGCCCATGTGCGAATAGGGATAATTCGGTTGGCCGTAGCCACCGGCCGGACCTCCAGGCCTTTCACCAAACGGCGGGGTGAATGAGTTCTGGAATCCGCGGCCAGGTGGACCTGAACCACCGAATCCTCCAGAGTGCTGTTCCTGGTTTTGCTGCTGTTGCTGCTGCGCGGAGCGTCGCTCGGAATTGTTCGATCCACCGCGACCCACGCCAACCGCTCCGGGTCCGACGCCGCTAGGCGCCTGAATACCCAAGGTGGGACTGGCGAAGGATGCCGGGTTGATGGCCGACATCCAGATTCTGGTCTTGTAGATCTTGAACAGATCCGTAACGAGCGAATTGAAGTTGATGTACGAATCAGCGAAGTAGTAGAATGTCAACTTCTTCCAATCCCTGCGCGCGGTTAGTCTCACCTCTGTTCGTCAGGCTCGTCCAGACACTTACATTTGGAACTCGGCATCGAGAATCTCCATGTTCAGTCCATGCTCCTTGACCTTTTGCATGCAGACTCGCTTGGCCTTGGCCTCGTTGCCCTCCTTGTCCCGCAAGGCGTGGATCTCGTGACTCTGTGCCAGGCGCTTGATGAGCTTAGGCTTAAGCTCTCCAGCATTGGGTTCCTGCATATGACCATGCTGATTAGGCGGGCCCATTCCGCCGACAGCGCTGCCCTGGAGACCATTTGCGGCCGCCATAAGGCCAGCGCCTGTACCATCCTGGGCAGCAGCGGCATTCTGAGAATACATCATCAGCCACTTGTACTGCTCCTCTGCGTAATGCTCCTTGAGCTCCTTGGCAGTTTGCCAGTCAACGTTGTCGCGGGCGACAGTGCCCAAGTCAGTTCCTCGATCAGCTTCGACGATGACGAGATCACCAGGCTTCACGGTCAAGCCCGTCCCCTCCTGGATGTAGAAGACGTCTGCTCTAGCGCACTTGAATAAGACGATGTGAAGCAGCTGGTTATGGCGCGGCTGCGACATGGCATACACATTGCGATGAGGCGAAGGTGCACGGTTTCCATAAGGAGGGTGCATCGAGTAGGCCGATGGGAAAGTGTTGTTGAACTGCATGCTCTGGGGAGGAGCAGCAAGACCTCCACCGGGAGTAAAGTAAGCAGCTGTGTCTATGAGTCAGCTTGATTCATGCCAAAGTAATAGCCCAACTTACCTGTGTTGCCGAGGGGGTAGTTCTGGTTTTCCGAATAGGCCAAGGAATAGTCCTGGGGTTGCGGCTGCTCAGCAACGGGGGTATCGAGCGCGTTGAAAGACTCGTTGATGGAACTGATGGAACCTTGGCGGGTAGGAATATCCGCAAATGAGTGCCTGCGGCTCTGCTGGCCTTCAGGACCGCCAAAACCGAGAGAGCTGTGCCAGAATGCCTTCTTAACATTCTCCAGCTTTCTGTTCTCATATGGCG